GGAAGGGTTGGTCACTGGAACGTTTAGCCGTTGGAATGTTTTCCGCGTTTTTTACCACCACCAAACACTTTGACGCACCTCATCTTAAAATTCTGGATGGCATTTGTACGTGCAACTTCGTTTCAAACTGAATGAAGGCAATTCTTTGTGAAAATAACATCAAACAAGTTGTAATTTAATTGTTTCATTTATTTCTTATTAACATAGATTTCGCCTTCAGTATGGATTCAGGTTCAGACTGCCGTTTAAGAGGCTTACGCTGAGTCTCAGGCTCACTTTGAGTCAATGTAAGCACTATCCGTAGAAGTGACGATGGCGAAACGTCATGTAATTCACGTTTTCACCCTTCCTAATCCATAATGACCATGGCTCAAATTACTGCTGAGGATTTTCTTCGGACTCGAGTTAAGGCTTACCTCCTTCTTAAAGTGGGGTTCTAACGAGGTTCCGGTTGAGATCTAGATTAAGGCATATCTCACCTTCGAGCTTATGATGAAACTGAGTCTGAGGCTAACTCTGGGCTGTAACTGAGGCTCACCACGAGGCATATGTTCAGGCTCATAAGTTTGCCCACGTTGGTGGTTCTCCTGAGAAACACAGTGAGGCTCGGCAAAGACCTAGTTCGGCACATATCCTGGGTTTAGGACGAGGCTTACCCAATACTCAAGCTGCACCTTACTAATAGCTTCTGTCTGAGGCTCACTATTCGCTTGAACTGAGGGTTGCCAAGGTGCTTAGGCTGAAGCTTATCCTGGAACGCAGTCTGATGCTTGTCCCCGGTCCAAGCTAACGCTTGCAGCGGGGCATAGGATGAGGTTTTCTCCGTACTTCGGTTGCCGCTTAACATAGGATTCAGACTGAGGCTTACCCCGAGGCTGAGCCTCCCCCGGCATATCTCGAAGCGTTCCTAATTTTACTGACACATTCCTCTCGTTTCGGAATGAAATTTTGAACTTTAACCAGAAAGCCGCTGACGGACGTTGCTCTTTCTCTCTCTATGTCTTCATCTGCTTTAGTACACGCCCATTGTCTAGTTTAGATGATACCGATTTACTCAGCACAGCTGTTTGGATGGAGGTTGCGATGCTGATCCTGAGGCTGCGATTAGGGCAGACTCGAGCTGACGTTTAGCTTGGATTATTGGCTCTAGACTCATAAGATCTTCTAATAGTGCTTCGAAGGGGTTTGGGGAGATATGTTTTACGTGACATTTTTTGGGAGTTGACAAAAGTGGTATTGATGAGTATGTACTTACTAGACATACTTATCTGAGGCGGTGCAGGTAAAATAGTGGATTGTCTTAGTTTCTTTGGTTCATGTAGAACCTTGTTCCGCTCAAATATTTCTCAGAATCCGTTAAAAAGACCTGTGTGTTGTGGCATTTTATTGTGGGTTGTAACATGTCTCTTTTCGGGATTGAAGTTGAGGTGATTAATCAGAAAAGTTGATTGTACTTTCAGTTTTGAAAACTCATCCAGTATGTTGCAATTAGGAAATCTTGGTGCTGGTCACTTGCCTGTGTTCCTGGCTATGCTGGGCACTTTAATGCTTGGTATGGGTTTTCTTGAAATTATCTGATTTCTTTTAATTGATCCACTAGCAGATATGTGCTATTAATTACTTCACATTTTCTCATAGTTCTTTTCTGCATATTTTTTGTCGTCAAATTTCTACAAAGCAGCTGGTCGTGATCGTTGAGTCTCGCCATTATATAATCGTTTTCATTGTCGAAATTTACAAAGAAATAAGCAAAATTTCGTCATGGAAGTGATGTTTATTGAAAGCGGTGGGGTTGAAGGATCGACTTATGTGGTAGCTGTGTACCGCGGTGATGTTGACCCACTTTTTCCGTATATATCAGCGGAAGGTGATCGCAGACCGGAATCATGTCTCTTCAGTATGATGCTCAATTTGTCCTCCTTTCTTACGATGCTTATTATTTATCTTCGGTAAGCATCTCATCATTTCTTCTCATTAAAATCAATCCTTGATCCTGAACCCTTAAGTTGATTCATTTTTTTCTTTATGCTTTCCCCCTTTTCATTCAATGAATAAATCCGAAGTTTGTAAAAAATTACGATGTTCAGTTGTTATTTTTGTCTGTACAACGTTAAACTTTTTTGTTGACCACATTCGAACCAAAACATCGAGATTAAAATGAATTCTAAAATTTGTCGAATTTTAATAGGAATAACCTATCATATGTTCATGCAAAATTACATCGCTTAGGAATCTGCATATTCCCTAATTTGACCGCTCCTTTTTTCGTTAACTTTTCAGTTATCAAGAGAACCAAAGGTAGATGAAAAATCTCTTCGATCAATTTATCGCTTTCAGATATTCTTTGGTTTCTGAACTGAATCGAAGTTCAGATCTGTGTTTGAAACGGATTAATGAATTATCACTTGTTGCCGGTTTGATTGGAGCTGTTGGCATGTTTTGCGTCGCAAACTTTCAGGTATTTCGCCATTTTTTAGAATATGGCAGCACGATTCGAATTCGAGTGCTGATAAGTTAGTCCATCTGGAGAAATGTGAATTTTGTTCTAGGAAACAGCTCTGCTGATTGTTCATTGGACATCAGCATTCGTTTGCTTCGGTTCAGGTTGCATATATATGCTAATACAATCTTATATTACCATCCATATGTATCCGCTCTATGCAAATCGCCATATTGGTTTCGTACGGTCTTTTATCGCGTTGATTGCGGTCATCTCCTTCTGTACTGGTACACTTTTCTTTATAGACTCGTATCCACATAGATATCCTCGTATGATGTCACTTATTCAATTTGATGAGGTATTATTGAGTAAAACTTCTTAATTTTGTTGATTATGTTTATTTGAACAGCCCGAATTCAAATGAAATATAACGTTTTGATTGCAGCCGTTCTTTTTGGTGTATTAGCAAGTCATGAGTTCCATAAGTATTACCCAAGTTTACCAACACCAAGACCATGGTCAAGGAAAAAATATGAACCAGTTAGTAATCTAGTTTGTTTGTTTTAGTTTTTCTCGTTGTTTACAAAGCTGTCGTTTGTTTTCCGTCAGTTAATGGAGCGTGTTCGTTTCCCATACTCCACGTTCTGTTTCAGGGTTACGATTTACACTGTATTTCTGCCGTATCTGAATGGGTACTCGCTATAAGTAACTTTGTTTTTCTTTTGAGGTCAATCCATCTCATTTTTGTTTCTTTCAATTTTAACTGTTAGATTCATTCAATCATATTTCACCTTCGTCTTCATCATTGATTCAAGTTTAGCGAAAAAGTCGGTATCGTTTGGTGTTTCTATTTCATTGATTCTTATCTTATCAAGTCCCATTTTGAACTAATGAACTATTATTTTTCTTGTGTACACTCAAATTCAGAAGGTGGTATTTATATTTCAAGTTACATTCTATGAAATGTACATCAATTTTCAGTTATTCACGAGATTTCGAGAAGATACAAGTGGAGTTGGGAGTTCAACCGTTAGTTGCTCATCTTGATCAAAGTCCCTTATGGCGATCGGCTACTGATCTCAGTCTATCGTCTGGCTGAATGTATTTCTGGAAGCTGTAATGTTATGGGTAATGAAATAGTGAACGTTGAATATAATCGATTTGAGATTCAATGTTTGTCATGGATGATATCTTATATTGATCATATATTTTTTAATAATATGACACTTTGTTTTTCCACATTTCAAACTCATTCGAAATCTCAGCTTTATGTATTCATCGTAACGTGTATGTCAGTGGCGGTGGTATGAAATTAATTAATAAGGCAGATTACGGTAGAGCTATATGATAATCGAAAGATAATTCCTAATTGATCAGTTATTACAATCTGCAAAACAGTAGCGGTTTTTGATGATTCTTTAGAATGAATCAGCCAAAATTTTTTTCATCACTTAACGAGTGATTGTTTGCGCCATTTGGATATCATTGATTTGTTCATGTCGATGTAAATTGTAAATAAATTCGATTTTTCAAGCAGCACTTATAACAATCTACTTATTTGTGAAAGGAAGCAACAAAGGTTGTGAGAATATTAGAAAGCTGAAGTAATGATTGAATGATGTTGATTGGAATGATTTGATAATGTCGCGGTTGAGCGACCTCCCCATTGCGATTATTCCACATGCAATCCATCTCGGTGATTTCAGCTGTTGATATCCATTTCTTACTGTTCCAAGATTGCTAACAGTCCTTATATGATATTATAACACAATGAAGGGTTGTAGTCTGGCAACGACATGCCATCGAAAGACCCGTAACGTACATCTTCGATTTGCTGAGCGAAGATACCGTCTTACTGTTATCGCACCTTATATGTGTAAGTAATTGCAATTAAATTTCATGAATATTCTTCGGCGAGATGACTGCAGAAAAAGTTTACGACGATCGTCAAACTGAGAACGGTTTTCGATAGAGCGCTTCATGCGCCCAAATTTTTACCAAACTGAATATGGTTAGGAAATACTTCGATTGTTGGACGATGCTCCAATCGCAGCAATTGCTCGTCTTTGTCTTCTCTCTGCATCGTAATCACATTCGATTTCCCGTGCTTTCAAAACCGATTGCTATCTCTCTGTCTTCATGCTGTACACGCCCATTGTCGTGTTCGTTCACACGCCCATTGTCCTGTTAGTTCCACACCATTGCATTAACATTTCTTACTATTGAGCGTGCAATCGCAAACAAATTGTTTCGAGCGAAGAAGTGCTTCTTCGTTTTCACCAATATTATAAATATGCTCCACATTTTCCCTTCCTCAAAGCTAACGGTATTAGCTCAGGAAGTCATCCTCATTCTTGAAAGTTGTTGTTTTTATTAGAACTTCAACGTTCACTTTTTTGATTCTTTTCTTCTAACACGCAAAGTCAAGCGAAAACAGTGTCTTGAGTTGATTCGAAGTTGCAACCAATGAATCGTATAGAATTTTCGTTTGGTTATGTCACGAGAATGTTAAACTTGAAGAGTTTCAGAGTTGAACGTGTGTTGCCGTAAGAAGGCTGGAGTGAGGATGGTTACATGGCATACTCCTTATAATCGACTTCTTCATTTGTCTCTGTTTTTTGCAGTTTTACCTTGGCTATATAGTTATTTTAATGAGCGACATCGAATTCAATCCTATTCTGTTGAACAAGCATTAATTTTGTCATGGGATAAAGTCATCACCCAACCAACCATATTATTTCGCCGTGCGGTTGTTGGGTACGTTTATGGAATATTCTACATCACCACATTCTTTTTTGTGTTTGCATAACTGAGTTTATTCATGTTTGAAATTTCGTTCAGAATAAACTGTAACGTCGATTTGGTTGTTTCGGCGACAAGTCTTTTGGAACGTATGAATTCTACATCAAATAAAAGAGATGATCATCAGGTAAAATGTTATTTTCTTCTGCTGAATATTCGTTGATATTTATATATTGCGTTATAGGTTCCTTTCATGACTCTTAGCTTGTATTAAAACCGAATGATTGCAGTGTCTCTCAGACCATGTCGCAAACAGTTTGTAACGGCATTTTAGGTTTTAAACAATGTTGATGATTTGTACGAGGCGTTCGCGTATTTCTTCTCTCGTGGTGCGGCTGCGGAGAGGTCGGACCTTTGCGCTTATCGATGGTTATTTGTAAAATAGTCTGAAACAACAAGTATAATCTAGACCCACCTTTTCACTCTTTCCTAACACTTGCTTGGTGTGGAATGCGAAAATATTTTATGAAGGGAAAGAAAGATTGCTATTATTCTCAGGCATACGTCTGATGAGAAAACGTTTGAGTTGATGGTTCATACCGCTGGTGAATCAAGACAACGTCCACATTACTATATTGGAGGGAATGCGGCATTAATGGCTGAAAAGATCGCAACTGCCTTTCCAAGAACGACTGTTGGTGGTTTTAAGAGATTGTTCAATTCGCGCTCGTGCAATCAACAAATCGCAATTATATAATTACATTCACCAGGTTTATTTGGTTGGACCAATCGGTCCTCGAAGTCAAGCTCTATTGCATCCTTCAATTGTACGCACAAATTCAACGCGTATTGTTAAAGATGAGGTACACGTCATTATGGAGTATAAACAAGGTGAAATTTTGGGGGAATATGTGGCACCTGCATCGTCCCGATTCATTACTTCACACGATCAGTACAGGTGTTTCAATTTATCTCTATGTATTGTCAGCAAAAACATTTCGATGTTGAACCAATGATTGAATTCTAGTGGTAGCTCGGTGGTGATTGAGATGTTCTTCAAGGCAATCGCACAGTTCAATCCAGATTTAATAATTCTCTCTGGTGTTCATTTGCTACAGAATCAAGTCAGTACATCCTCCGTTATTGAGACATGGATAAGCCATAATATATACCATTGTTTATCGTGAAGTTTTTGGCAAATCTTCATCTCAATCGGGAGCTTTGGATCTCCCAAATTTTAAGCGTGGAAATGCGGTCAGTTATATGTATGATATGATTTATAGAATAAGGAAATGCGTATGGAAAAACTTCGCTTGATCAAGCGTAATTTGATGCAAGTCAATCCGAATATACCAATTCATCTTGAATTGGGTAGCATAGGTGATGCTGATCATGTAGCACAAGTACTCAGCAGAGTGAGTTTGAATACGTTCTTGAGAAGAGATTGGAACAGCACATTTGTACCAGTCGAAATTTTCAGTTTGGTTGAAAGAAGTAATTTGTCAGTGATTTAGATCGTTCCAAACGTTGACTCGTTAGGTCTGAATGAACAAGAGTTAGCATTCTTTTCGCACATCGCAGGTGGGCCGTATACAGATTTGTATCCAATCGCTCCTGGTGCCGTTCATGTGCATAAGGCTTGTTTCAGTTGTATTTGTCATTTATTTCAATGTCCATCTTGATCTTATTCTATTCAAGAAACTCTTCGTCATTTTCGATTAAAATTGACACGAATCTAATAAAATGATTGTTCACATATGAATTTTTGTTGAATAATACAATAGAGAAAAGGATATATTTTGGAATTGACGCCGTGACGATACCTAATGGAATAAAGAGATTGGCACTGAACTTATTTCGGTAAAAATGCAACAAGCTTTGGTTGTTAACAAGGTTAGTTTAGGTAGTGGAGATGCTCTATTGGCTATTGACAACATATGGACACGATAAAAGTGATCCAGAATCGAAGAACTTTAAATATAAATTATCAAGGATTCATTTTCACTCTCTCACTTTCCATCTCATGGTAATATCTGTTGTTCTTACTCTTCATAAGCCGTATGCTGTGAAAATTTACTATATTACTAATCCTTCGAATTTTCTCGTTATTCATCTTGAAAATTACGATATCTATAGAGCTTTCATCTCTTGTCTGGAACGTTTTCAGGTATATCGAGGTACTGATTGGTCTAATCTAGCAGCCGGGTTGGCGGCTGGTGCTAAAGTGGCTGGACGACAGGCATGCCAAATGACTGGTGGCGATACGAATACAGATAATCTTGAATTAAGGAGTTCAATGTCCTTCCTTCTTGATAAAGAAGTGGGAAAAAGTTATAACTTCGAACCACAAAAGTATGTGCTCGTCAGTTGAATCTGATGTCATTTTCTGTTCATGGTTCAGTTCTGTTCACTTTGCAGACCAATAGCGTCTTGGATGCGGAAGGATGTGGTGTTCATTTTCACACCTGTTTTGGTATGTAAGTTTCCAACGAGGACGGTAGGTGTTGATGACGCGATTTCAGCAACTGGATTGATTTATTCACAATTCTATCGATTCGAGAAGGCGTGGTAATGGTGATGCCTTAATGTTTGTTCATTTTCAGTTGCTTGATAGGAATTTCTTTGCCTCTTTGATTACTCAGTCTTTTGTTATAATAAATGAGTTGATCGTTGCTGTCCACAAAATGTCGTTGTTGTCTGCAGTAGTCAATCTCCAGTTGACGTCTTGGACGATGTTCATGTTGCGAGATAAAAATAAAAGCGCTCGTTAATTTTGATAGTGATTACTGATTTATTCCTTCCTTACGCATTTCATGCTATTTAGTCATTTACCCGATTGTTTGCAATATTATCGTGCCTCTGCAATAGTGTGTGCGTTGTATATTCAGATAATTATTGTGAAAGTGGTATTCAGTTGATTCATTTCAGACGGGTCTTATTTCAGTATGATGCCTTCGATTATTATTCATACTTACAAAATATTGTCACAACTTTTCAAGGCTTTATCTAACAACTGTTGTAAAAGTAATTGTTAACTGACACTTGTTGAACTGATGATTGGTTATCTTACAAAGAGTAGAGAATTTTAATATTACATCTGTTTCAGTTCATATGGTCTTATTTACCTATCGCATTTTACCCTCACTGTTGCAATATATATATTTGTGATTCTGATCCTATTGAATCGTTTGCTGATTCAGTGATTGTAGTAATACTAATAAGTTGTTGTGATATTATATGGTTGTACTCTAAGCTCTAAATTAGTAAACCTGAATTATTTATACTTTGTTGGAACGCACCATTCATCTTGTACAGAAAATCGTGAGCGGATGTCAAGCACTTTTAAATGAACGCTTTATTGCGGAACGGGTTAAAACCCTAACCGAGTTGGTCGATTGAAAACGTGACCAGTGATCTTCGACAGCAATTTTTTTGCAACGAAATTTCACGGAGACTGTTTTCAATCAGAAAGGCACACCTTTGAGAGATTGAACCAAAAAGACTCCAATATTCGGAAGTTACGCACATCGAAGCCCCAGGCTTACAGTTGGCCGAATCACCTCCCAAGCTGATTTTTCCAGTGAAATAAAAAAGTACTTTTAACGGATGTGGCCGGAATTTTTCAAGGGGAAAGTTCTATTTCCCCTTGGGAAATTTCGGCCACACCCGTTAAAGAGAAATTCCGTTCCGCCTTATCGCTCCGCAATAAAGCGTTCAGTCATAATTTGATAAATGCTTGACATACGAGTAGGAACCATTTTGACGGTGACAAACCGAATCGCTGAACAAATGCGAATGATTTTAGAACTGAACCAAAAAAAAAGCATTGTGATCCTTATCAGATTATTTTTCCGCTTGGTTCGAATCGATCAGTTGCAATGCCTTTTAACAAGTTCTTTCGAGATTTGTTAATAATTTTTTGTTAGCACGTGAAGAACCGTGATGATAAATTTTTGTGTGAAAATTAAAGATGCATTTTCGGGTGATGAATGAGTGATTTGGTGTTTTTGATTGCGGACAAATAAAAAATTGGCGAAGTTCGATGACTGACAGATCGTGGAAGAAAGTGACGGAAAGCAAACAACTGAACAGTGGTTGTTCTTTCATTCTCATCGTCAATCACATCTAATTCACTTCGTTGAAACCATACGACACGGGCATTTTATCCTCTGCGAGCTTTCTTGATAGTACGCATTTTCGATCGTAATGAGAATAATTATTATATTCAGTATGCTTTTGATAACTGATGATGTGTCCACGAGTAGAGCTGAATACCAGCTTTACAGGTAAGAATTATGTTGAGTATCAGTTCCATTCATTTCCACACTACCTTCTTATGTTCAATACTATTGTCGTAAATTTTGACTGCAAAGTTTTTAATTCAATAAAACAATCGAGCCAACTAAACGATAAAACTGCTGAATGGCATAACCAGAGAACCATACAAAAGAATCGCTATGTAATTCATGTTCGGACACCGGTTAGCTGCCGTAAGAATGCATTTCAGAAATCTTCTCTCGAACTATAACCGCCTAGTTAGGCCGGTAAAGAACAGTACAGAATCATTGAAAGTGTTGATGAGAGTTCATCTGCAACAACTCATTGATGTGGTATATCTTTTAAATTGTTGCATTGGTTCAGTTTGGAATTTATATTTCATCAAGTAAATTCACACTGAATTTTGCAGTAGCGCAATCGATTATGTGAATGATGTTGGGTTTAATGTATGGAACATGATGATTTTTTTTAGGATGAAAGGAATCAAGTCATTGAATTGAATGTTTGGTTAAAATACGTAAGTTGTTTGCATTTACTTAGTTTTTAAACCTTAATATTTAAACAGACAAATTGTTGTCATGATAAATAAACAAATAATCACATAGATAATTGTAAAGATTTGGAATGACTATCGACTTTCATGGGATCCCACACAAAATGAAAATATCACGAGTGTGCGATTCATAAGTGGAGCGTATGTTTGGCAACCGGATATACTTCTTTATAATAGGTATTATTTGCAATTATTTTGCTGAATGCATCGCTTCATTTCTTTGATTTCAGTGCAGATGAATCATTTGATTCAACTTACCAAAGCAATGTGGTTGCATATAACGATGGAGAAATCAACTGGATTCCGCCTGGAATTTTACGTGCTTCTTGCATTATGGACATCACGTGGTTCCCGTTTGATGATCAGACGTGCTACTTGAAGGTTCTTCCTTAAACTTCAGCACTCGTAACTATAAAGTATTTGTACTTGGCCTGATTTTCATCTTTCAATCAATCCCTCGAATTGAATATGTGAGTTGTCAACCCAATGATAATGACATCAAGTTTGCATCTAAACGGATCGACTTTTGAAAAGGATATTTAAGTCAACTTTCTATAAGTATAGTCATCTCTTTACTGGCAAATTCTTTACTCTTTTTGTCGTTTTCTTTTGCTGTTTGCTTCCTTCTGATAGAAGTTTAAAATTCTTATTCAAATAATTTAATAGAGTTCGGGTTTAGTTCGGATCATGGACTTATAATGGATTCGCTATCAATTTGCAAGTTGATTCCGAATCAGGAAAAAGTGAGTGATTCAGTATTTCTATTACAGGTGATTTAGTTCTATAATTCCATATATTGCGTTTTCTTATCAATTTTTTGCACTCAGTTTCATTTAAGATGGCTCAATCGATTTGTCGGATTACATATCAAATGGAGAATGGCTTATTCGAGGTTGATTTTTTGCAGTTGTAGCTATCGTTGTCTGCTTGTTCATTTCGTACTAGACCTGACTGCACAACGATGACCGACGAAGTAGTCACTTATGGTTTTACAACTTTAAGATACGATAGCCGTACGAGAAGAGAGTTTTTATGACTGCTGTATTGAACCGTATCCAACCTTAAAATTTTACATCAATTTGAGACGTCGAACACTTTTTTATGGTTTCAATCTGATCGTTCCATCATTGCTCATCTCAGTAATGACGCTACTCGCATTCGCGCTACCACCAAACGACATCTCTGAAAAAATCAGCTTTCGTGAGTTGATATTTCTTTACTGTTGCGTAATCATGCTCGGCCTAAGAGTTTTTTCGAAAATATGATCAAGCAATCGCATGAATTGTCTGATGAGGGTACCATATCCATATTAGTATGAGTAGGTTTTGTATTATTGTGAAAAATAACTTTAGAATATATTCAACTTCGATCCACAACAAGATAATTTTTATTTTATTTTTCTTTCACTTCCAAAATTCATTTTACAGAAACGACAATTTTATTATCGGTTTGTTTCTTCTTAACGATTGTCAGTGAAATAATACCAAGCACATCGGATTCCGTTCCTCTTATAGGTGAATTACATTTCATTTTGTATCACTCGTGTACATTTATGAATTTTTTTACATCAACCTATCGTTTCACTCAGTTTTACTCTTTTTTTTCGAAAATAAGTTTATTCTCGAAAATGACGCAATAACACTGAATCCTTAAGTAATAGTTCTGTGTATGGTTAAGGCATGTTTTTTTCAACGTTAACTATTATTGTGGCCGTTTCGACAACGTTCACGATCATGGTAATGAACGTGCGATATCGACAAACGGCCAATTGCAGAATGAGTAAAACGGTAAAACAACTGATCGCTTTCAGTTAACAAAATCGATGTCGTTTTTGCTCACCTTTACTGAATACGCAATCTAGGACATTTTATCTGAAGAAATTTGAAACATTTCTTTTCAGACCGCATTTCTGAAGAACTGAAATTCTCTTCAACAAAAAACGAATAAAAATCCTTTGTTACCATTAATGCAATCTCAATGAATCAGTCACTACTTCGTTCAATTCTATAGACGGTTTCGTTTCTCACTGGATCTATCATCCGATGGTTTAAAAAATTTCAAAAATGCGACTTTATCTCTCAATATTTTTAATCATAAGCATTTTTGTACCTAGTTTCGGCGTTTATTTCTTAATTGGTTACCGTGGTTATTGGTCATGAAACGATCTGGATACAAATATTCAAAGCGAAAAGTATCCAAAATTGGTGAGAGACTCTACAGGACAGAATGTTTAAAAGTACATATGCAATGTTTTTTCTTGCTTTACTCTTGATCGATCCAATCAACAAGTAAAACAGACTCTCTGAATGGAAGTAAATTCCGATTTTACACTGAACGAATTCGATGCTATATTATTGCTCAAGTGCAATTGATGGATTTAAGTGTACTGGAATAAAGGAACTTATCGATTCATGCAACAACATCTATAAAAAGGACTTGGAGAGAACGATACCATCGAGTTTGGTTGATCAATTGTGTGTTGTACCTATTCAGAAACTTGACTTAGAGCGCAAAGTTGGTGACGGGATGTTCACAACGAATAAATCTATCAGGGTTCGAGTTCAAAAAATGAATCAATATGATAAGTATCTCAAGCAATGTATTGGTCGTATCAGTGATCCACGTTTGTTTTTATCCTTTCAAATAACTTTCATTTGGCTTTGCTGAACTAACACTTTGAAAACGTCGAACTGTTTCTCTTGCGAAGAATTTCAATTCGATGCAAATCTTTATTTATGGTTTGACTTTTTCTAAGATTATAAGTGATGGTCTGTAATTGACTATCAAACAGTGATGTTTTATTGCAAACATCACTGGATTACAATTGCAAAAATAATTTGCATTTATGCTATAACCAGCTTCAATATGGTTCGATATGCATTCGGAAAGTGTAGAATGAAAAATACAAGAAATATCACTTAAGATGCTTATAGCAAGCAATGCACTCGGCCTCAAATACAGTTTCTTATCATTTACTAGCTTCATGAAATTTCTAGAAAGTACTTTCGCTAATGGTGCGAAAAAAATGTGCATTGTAAAATGTTACTTATTGGCGTATAAACGATTGAAAATCATCAATGAACGAATGAAACGAATCCAATGCAACGAACAAATCGAGGTTGAACTTTTCATTTTCGGTGTTTGAATGATAAAACTTCACGAAATGATCCAATGAATAATCTCAAATGTATAATTGATGAGAGCATTTTTCAATGGAGCAATCAAACAGTGGATTAAAATATTTATTGTTAGTTGTTTTTAGGAGGACTGGAACTACGCGGCAATGGTATTAGACCGTCTATGTATGATCATATTCTGTGTCTTCTTTATCGTGAGCATCAGTGCCATTTTCCTTTCTCCTCCTTACATTAACGCGTAACATTAACTAAACAACATTTCATTTATGCTGTATATCGAAGACGAATGAATATTGTTGAAGTAAACTTATTTCAAATAAATGCTTTTGTTTTTTGATGCTATTTCATACGAATAACAGTTGTCCGCGTATTCGTCTTGTAGAGAATAGTTTAACACAGTCAAAAGATGATAATAGCATCTTTTTAAGAGTAACATCGAGAATGAGAAATTGATGAGTATTGCAAATGTGAACAGCTATCTTTTGTTATGCACTTCAATCTGCAATGAGTTATGACCGTCGTCTTGTGCAGTTGTGAACAACTCAACGGCGCTAACGATGTCCCCAAACCGCTCGGCATCACTGGACGAGTTCCGATGAATGCTTAGGGTAAAACCCTTCTTCAAACGTATATTTAGATCCCTTTCTTACCAACTAGCTGAGGAGAGGGCGTCAATATCTGCATTAATTGTGAGATGACACGCGAGTCAGATTCACGATTTCGAGGTTAGAAATACACTCATCGTCAATGTTTTATCAAAATTCGTTATTACTCTAAATGTTGAAATAGCAATTTCAAATACTGGTTGAATGCCAACATGCGATTGATTCTTTGTTCTCATTAGACTGATTCTGAAGTCATACAATTAGAAGAGGCAATAGAAAGGTTCATTCGATCATATGGGTGTAAAGGTAAGTCTTCGAAATTATCTCTTCGAAATTGTCAATTATGTCTTGTACTATTCAGGTGAGTAATTTGTGGTGTAAACTGAAATCATGAGATTTCATTTGAGGTAAAAGTTCGTCTGGGGTGAAGTCTAAAAGTGCTCCTTTTACAATCGCTTCTACAAGTTCTTAATGTGGCTGAGGGACATTAGGCTAAGCTACACAATGAAACAAAGCCTAAGATTAAGCGTAACATATGACAAAAGCGGTTGAATGCAACGGTGCAACAACTTGCGGTTTGTTTTGCTCACTGACCACATACCCCAGCATTGACATACATTTGCAATTGTTTCTGTTCACTTTTCCGTTCTTTTGCTATCGTTTTTTCCCAATCGTAGGCGCAAATCAAGGCTACGATTTGTGATCAGAGATAGATTTCTCCGAGCTGTTTTGTTCAAATAAGTATTAAACATGTCGTCATTATGAGTAGATGTGCAGATGCGTAGTGATCTGCATTCACCACTCATTTCCTAGGTTTTCCTGGGTTATGCTTGCTCCTTGTCGATGCCTTTAAAATATGGCATGGTGCAGCTAGTCGTGTTGTTTGTTCCATTTATGAATTTGATACGTTAGTTCTTCTATCAGATCGCATCTTGTAAAATGAAGTCTGTTCAAAATTGTGAGTGCTTTATAGATGCATACTGGTCTAGGCCAGACGAGTGGTTCAGTTGTCCGACGCCACAATCAGTCTCCTTCTGTTTCACCGGATGAAGTTCGTCGACTTATCGCTGAAGTTAAAGCAAGACCGTGTAAGTTTCTTTTCTTTTCTGTCATCATTTCATCGGTAATCTTTATCAGATGTAACGTTTTTGAGTGAAATAAGCATTCAGTGTTTTTGAAGAATTCTAACAATGCTCCTTTAAATTATTTCTTTGTGAATCTTACGTTTTACACTTTTTAGTCGTTGCACATTATCACAGTCACTTCAACATTTATTCACGACTTGAAGTTAGTTTTGCGATATTTTTTAGGAATTTCAGTAGTGTTTTCATGTGAGCCTTCTTTGGAACATAACTGATTATTAAAGTAGTTAGTTATTGTCATTAATTATAAGATGCATTTTAGATACAAATGAAACGTCAAGATATTTTGTCATATCCATATTTTGCAGTGATTTGGGATCAGAGATTACCCGAGCACGGCGATGCCACTAAAACTCGCTTGGCATGGAAAGCAATAGCCTCAAAACTTGGAGGTTATACACCTGAGGAGTGGCGTAAAGTAAGTCAACTGCATGGCTGTTCAATCATCAATCATGTGCTGTTCCGGATTCAAAGTTGAAATTTAATGTTAAGTAATATTATCGTGAGCAAATGCAGTAACGGTATCGTGCAGGTGTGGAAAAACAAGCGTGATTACTACAACTGCAGCACAAGAAGGGGAACTTCTTCAACGAATTGGCCATATGCAAGGTTCGAATATTGTTAGCCTTTCTTCATGAATTTTTGACTTGAATTTAGAGGCAGTATCATTGACAAAAACTTTTGCGGTATGCATTACGATGATTTTAGCTCCATATCCTTTTGCTTGGCATATTAAACTGACGATTATTTAGATTGCTAACGTTTTTGGATCCAGTACTCGGTCATAGACAGCCGCAGTGTGCAACAACAAGCATCCTACACACTCAAACATCTCAGAACGTCACAGCCCCCACGGTGCCAGTTTTCAAAGGCGAGTTGAATGTTCGTTGCTAAATTGATGAAAATATGGTGATGGCTTTAGGTATGCTTCGATTGCATTGAATTTCAGACTTGGACACTGTTAATCTACGACTAATGTTTAATCGTAGCGCAGAACCTGGCTTAGAAATGTTGGCATTTGGCAAATATGTGGCCTTATCGCTGTCTGCAATGGATGAAAAGTCGAAGAATAGTGCAATCTTCCAGATTCAAGCACTTCTGGTCAATCATCTCAAGCATTCAACAACCGCTTCTTAATTCATCCACTCTTTCGTTGCCTTCATCTCTTGCTGCTTATATTATTTTTATTGCTGTTGTGTCATTTAGTTACCTGATTTGCTTCAATTTTTTTTTGAGGCTTATCGCATTTATTATTGACATATTTATAAAACGTTGTAAAAGGTCACCTATTTTAGTATGAGTTAGCATGATGATGGAAATTTTTGTTTATTCATTAGTTTATTTGTTGTTATAGTTCATCTATGTACGATCACAATTGTTATTGTTAGTTAATATTTTCATTGCTATTATGGCACGAATACTTGACGTCCACTCATTCTAGATTTGGATTCAGCACATCTGGAAACGGTATTTTGTTTCCTTATTCCATTGCAGCGCATTTCTTTTGTTCTGATGTTTTTAGATAATCGTGAAATTGATTGAGCCATCGAAGTGTCGCAATTAATGTAAGGTGCATAACATAACTTATTTATTGTTTGTTTATATTGTTTTTATGGGGTCATTTGAACATTTCAATCATGTTTCATGAGATGTTCTTTCGATATTCAGCAGAATGATGTGATATCGCAGATATTATTGTCTTTCCATATACGTGTTAGATCTCTGATATAAATCGTGTGCTGCAGAAATACGCGCCAATACATATGCAAATACCCTTCCAAAACTTGAACTGTTTATCTGCCGTTTTGCATCCCGAACTGGTTATTGGGTTGTGATGATTAGATGATGTTGTCGGCTGATCGTATGAACAGCGTGCAGCTGAGTTCTACGAAGGTTTCGCCATCTCCAGAGTCTGTGATATAATGCCGTGGATATGGGCACGACTGTTGGATAGGATCTAGCCTAAATTATTGTAGTATTGAATAGATGTACATTTATTCATGTAATATGATGTTGTATTATTTTGCGATGTATTGAGCAATTAGATATTGTGAATGTGATATTTTCTGTGAGAAAATTCATCTTCTATGGACCTAAAAAATATTCAGTAATTTTTTAACAGACTGGTCAGTATTGTGAATGAAAATTTTCGTCAAGGCAAAGCTACACTATTATTCATTTAAAAAACGAATGTTATCGGAGCGTGATGAGCGATCAATGATGACTAGGCAATAGAGCATCATCGATTCGTGCTGAGACAAGGAAATAATTCGTTATTGGAAGAACCTATCTCATCGAGTTATAACTTTGTGATGTTTATTGTCGTTCGTTTGTTTGTTTGTCTTACAAGGGAAGGTCACGAACTTACCCCAACGTTTCGGGGTGAGATGCATATCATTTTGTAGGGCTCGTATAGCTGNTTAGACATAACTGTTTATATCATATTTGAGCCGATATTTTTGGATCTAAGACACAATTTTAGAATTGTTTTGTTGGGTGCGAATCGCTGATCAAATAAAACGTTGCGTAACATCAACAAAGTGTTCGCGTTAAAAATAAAATTCAAAACTGAACCAATATCTACATCTACAGTTTATCCTGTTGCTGCCAGTCCTGCTTTGTGTTCCAGAGCCTGGAGCCACCTTACAAAAACAGCAGCCAATAGAAACACGATCAGTAAATAATCTTTGATTAATTAATAGAGTTCAGTGATTGCTCATGCTAACTAGATGCCACGCGTGACCCTATCAGGACCAATAAAAACTACTCAGCGCGACTTCAGAATATCATAGAATGCGTTCCGTAATATGCACACACAACAGTGAAGATGCCGAACCGGAACAAGGCTTAATGGACTGAATAGCCGGGAACAACACAGTAAGGGTGCTACTTGTCAGAGAGCTAAATATCCTAGACGTGTTGATGGAACTGTGGCAGACGGGTGACCGACAAATCTAAACTTTGACAAAAATGATGAAGCACACTCATGCTACTCAATGGTGAGGAGGCACGCGCAAATTGTCGAGTGGCAGCTTGTCGCGGGCGAAATTGTCGTAGACCCGTGGCGGATCAATGATAACTGGCTCCGTGGCAAGTGCCAACCCGAAAAGTGTCACCGCATAAGTTCACGACAATGCGTGAACCTCATCACAAAATAAACCTGTCAGGGTGGCCCTGGTCACGAAGCTAANCCTGGACGAGTGACCCTGCAACAGGTGGCACCGTGCTAGTCGGCAACCCGAACTTCATTTCGTTTCGCGCATTCCACGGTGAACACGCTGCGTTCGTACTGCCGATTGTGAGGTATCGAACCGAACCGAGTTTCTTATGACCGACTAGCACGGTGCCACCTGTCGCGGGGCTACTTGTCGAGGGGCCAAATATTCTAGATCTATTGTCACCGTGGCGAGTGGACGGTGTCAGTTTTTTTGTGTTAGCTCTGTTCTAAGCCACCATTGTGAAGGCCAGGTGTTGTAAATCATCCCTGGTGTGCTTCAGCCAGAAAGACGAGAGATGGATTCTGACCGTAATCTCTGACGAGGCGCGCGCAGGCTGATATGATAAATCGGCAGTGGTTCTTTTGTCATAAAACTATCATTAAAAGCAGCTTACGTTTGATTTCGACGTGGATGACGTTCATTTTGTGTTGTATGAATTTATAATAATTAGAGATATGATCGTGTGCAATGATAATGCTTTTTGTCGGTTTTGAAGTGCAACCGTATGTCGGTTTGAACGTTTTAACTGATTACTCTAAATGCGTGTTTTATAGTATTGGATGAAGGAAAAGTAGTGGTTAGAAGGATGAGCGGTTGTGACGATGCATCGCGTTATTTGGAACGTCAGCGACAAACTGCTTCAATCGTCGTGTCAGCGCAACAAGCGCCGCATCGTCGTGCATTAAAAGAAGGTGAATGGGCATGTGTTGATGCTAAATGCGCTTATATTAATTCTGACCGGAGGACTGTTTGCGAACGTTGTGGTAAAGGTGAGTTGTACTCACTTGCATTTTACTACCAGTCTAATCGCCATCAAATTTATTTTTATTTGCGCATTTACAGTATCGTTCTTTTGCGATTAATTTTTTGAAGCATTTTTTGCAATTCAACGATTAGTTTCCCTTATGTTTTGGAACCTCGATCTGATATTCAGGTAAACCGCGATCCAAGAATCGTGCCGGACGAGAGATAGGCAAAGATGCAGCCGAAAAATCAAAAGGGCTGTTCGCAGCTGAGGATTGGGCCTGTACAAAGTTGTTTCCTTTCCTTTATCTTCATCCTATTGCTTAGAAATAGCCAAAATTGAATTTTTTTCAATCTGAACCCAAACTGAAATTTTGCGTTATAACGTCAAAATCAAGTCGTTACAGAAAATGTGAGTATGTTTCAACGAGATTTCGAATGGGTTGTCACAGTAATGAATTTCAGGTGTGGGAATGTGAATTGGGCTCGTCGAACAACGTGCAACATTTGCAATGCACCAAAATTAGGCGATCTCGAAGTTCGTACAGGTATTGTATTTCCTAAACTTTACCGAAAGCAACATAATACTCAGAAATGCTTACTTCAGCAAATTAAAGCAATATTGAAGCTGTTCATAAAATTCATCGGTTCATAGTGTATTATGAAGCAAATGTATCTGAAGATCTGTTAGCCTTATGATGCATCTGTTGTGTTTGGTGAAATACGAATTGATCTTCAGGATATGGAGGTGGATATATGGATAGACAAAACGTGGAGTATATAGAGCGGAAAGATGATGACGAATTCGATGAGTTTGGTCGCAAGAAGAAACGGAAGAAATTGGATGATGTTGGAGCTGTTTCGTTCTTATATTCGAAAATTTTTGTTTCTGTTTTTCAGTTTAGCTCGAAGTTTTTTTTTTTGTTCGTGTGATCTTGTTCAGTTTCAATGAGAAAACACACTTCCTCTGCTGAGTGGTCTCGCATTTTAATGACTCAATTATTTTCTAGACATAAGTGAATGCTATCATCAAAGTGAATAATTGATTGCAGGGAAGGGATAGAGAAGATGAAACGATTAAAGAAGATGAGAAGCGTAATAAAGATGAAGAAGAGAGTGGCGAAATCGATCATGATTCCGATGCCGATATGAGCAAACAGTTTTGTGACAAGGAGGAAATCGAGCAGCAAGAGGTATGGTATATGAAAGGTCTGATTTTGTCTCTTTTTTGGTCCAGTTTTCATGCTGATAATAACGTTTCCATCATTTTCATTCTTCAAAAGAGCATGTTCCAAACAACGCAAAAGCACACAATTACATTCGTTTTGTGAATTGTTGAAGTGTTTGCGTAATTCACCGTTCAGTAATTTTTTGATTCGATACGGATTGATCAAATAACTCTTAGAAAGATGAAGATGAAGAAGAAGACGAAGACGAAGGGAGTGATGATGATTTGGATAAATACGACCTGAGTGTGGATGATTTCGAAGTGGAAGATTTAAAAGCGAAAATTGCTGCTCGTAAAGCTGCTCTCGCACAAACAACTGCTGCATCTCCTGATTCGAGATGTTCCTCTGAGTCTGTTGATATCAACTTTATTTTGTATTAGCGATTCATTGTTTTGCAGTGTTTTATTTGACGAATATTGCAGATGCTCGTGCTCTTGTAGCGGTGGGGATTGTTCATGTGAGGATAGTGAAACTGAAGAGGAACAGAAGAGAACACTGAAGGAGAAAGATAAGGATAAAAATGTATTGGAAAGTCGCGAAAATCGGGATAGGACAAGGCCTCGCGACCGTGATGAACGCGATCATAAAAGTGAACATAAAAGTCGATCGAGGTTGATTCTCATCATTGAAGTTTTACGTTCATTTCATTTAATAATCATTGAATAGGCATTGCAACTGATTTTAAGGGAACGTTCACCGCGTCGTATTCATTCGTCGTCTTATCGAGACAAGGACAGACGCTGATCAAATCATTGCATTCAGTTCTTTGTTATTGAATTGCTTCGTTGTTTTGTTTACGTTGCCAACAAATTGCAATTGAGGTGTTGGTTCCTCTATCTGATATGCTTGCTTTGTTTCTTAGTTCATCTCATCAGTTCTTTTTTTGTAGATCAGTTTTAGCTATCGGTAAATCTAAGAAATGTTGATGAATTGAGCTTTATTTATTCGCTGGATGATAGTGATATGCTTATGTTCATTCTTTTGACAAATTAGTACTTTTGGGGATGTTCTTTGATGCGTTCACGAACATAATCGTTATTTCCCTTTCTAAAATCTGTTGTCCACTCCATCCAGGTAGAAAAAATTTTGATTGAAAGCTACTTGAGCAGTATTTCGGTCGTGCAAACCTATTCTGTGCTGATAGTTCAACCATTCTTATGCGAGCATCATGAATATTCTCGTTGTTCATGATGCGATCCTGATCTTTAGAAACGGAGTTCTTTGCTGTTACTTTCTTATAGCCTTTTTATTGTTTCCTTACAATATTTTGTTGGGTTTCATTTCTGCTTCAAAGTTTGCTGTTGTTGTTCTTCAAAGTGTTTATAAGTGAATAAAAATGTTCAGTTATTGTTTTACCATCTTCTTTTACAACTGGACTTATCAAGCGTCAATATCAGCGCTCAAACACACTTATTTTTTACTCATCTCTTTTAGACTTCTTGTTTAGTTATCAACCAACGAAGAAATAAATTGCTAAAATGTTTCAGTTGAAGACGAACTTCAGTCAACAATGAGTGGTTTGCAATTCCAAGGTGAGTTATTGTTATTATTTGAACTTGATTCGTAGTTAATCAAACTCCTCATATGTTTAAGAGTGTGCATCTGCAACAGTGCTTAACGACAAAGGCCTCTGAAAGAAGTACGTCGATAGTAATCCTGCAAACACTTGTGCCTTAGGGTTGAGCGAAATTCCTTAAAAAAACATTTCACTCAAGTCGCTCTAAAAGACGTATTTGTGTGAAAAGAGCGATGTGCTTGTTTCGTAGATTCGTGGAGCATTCGATATAGATGAGCAGTTTGAATTTACATCCTATCATTGTTTTTCGTTCGTTTCAGATTTCAATATCGGTGGTCCTCAAGAAAGTGTCAATTCAACGAACAGCGATTATCGAGCATCTGGTCGAATTGGCGATCGTAATCAGGTACAGCTTCGCGAATTGTCAAATCATTGTATTGTTAATCAACAATATTGATTTGTTAAATACATTTCATGTTCTTCACATTCAAAACAAATTTTCAGCTGTATAATTCTGAGCCAGAAACCGATGGCGAAAAACCGCGAAAGTCGAATTTCTTTTCATTTCAGTTTTATCAGCAGTACTTCGATGTAGACACAGATCAGGTGAATTTCTATTTCAATTCAGTTTTGTTGTGATCAGTCGGTGTTTCAGTTTTGACATTTCTTTTGAAGTTCCCATTTTTGTTTGCTATAATAATTTGAAGAGACTTCAGCTGTATTCTTACAGCCATAAACATGTTAGTCGTTAGTGAAATTTGGCTTTTAAGGTCATGTCAAGAATTTTGAATAGTATGGTGCCGCGATTCAATAAGAATTTTATCACCGATTACATTCAGCCCACTCCAGATTTGTATGGTAATTGATTAGATTTCATTCGTGTTGGTTGTTGCGAGTCATTTTTACATATCAATGAATATGAGTATCGATCAATCAAGATTTGTTTAAAGGTCCATTTTGGGTGTGTGTAACGCTAGTGTTCACGACGGCGATCTGTGGCAACGTGGCAAAGTATGTGCAAACAAATGGTGATGTTAAGAATTACGAGTATGGAAGTGATTTTAGATTGGGTAAGTTGTGATTTGTTCGTAATGCTTTTAATCGACGAGTAGTTGATTTCAGTGACTGGTGCGTCGACTATGATCGCTTCCTACGTAATCTTGATTCCGTTCGGCTTGTATTCTCTTTTTTGGTATCGACGATCGGAATTACAGTATTCATATCTGGAAATCTTATGCGCATATGGCTACAGTTTGTCAATATTCATACCTGTTTCAGTCAGTTTCATCCACTCACCGTTTTAAAGGCTTCATTTTATTTTACTGCTTATATGTGAATGAAGTAACTTACTTCAGCGGTTTTCTCTTTAAAATATTTCATCAATCGTCAGATGTCAGATCAATAAGCCAGTTTGTTGGATGAGCGATAATCTCAGCTGTATTTGTAGATACTTTGGGTTATCGACGTACAGTGGTTCAGATGGCTTTTGATAGTGGTTTCAGTGATATCAAGTGGTAGTGTTCTTATGGGGAGTATTTGGCCAGCAATTAGAAATGATCACAATAGAGCGGTTAATTTTTTTTCATTTGTGAAAATAGTTGATAATGCGAACGTGATTGACAGGAAGTGACCATTTGACGCTGATGAAGTTTGAGAAATGTGAATCGTGAATCGAATCGTCGTGTGGAAAATTTCGTGTCGTTTTCGTGTTCTTTTCATTTTGAGATCTTTTTTTTNTTGTCGTTTGCAAAATTTTAGATAGCGATTGGTTGCGGAGGTATGGTTCTGTTATTGCTGTCTTTGTTGGCAATTGGTTTCAAAGAATTCTATTTCGATGCGTCTCAACCGAATCAGTCTGTTCAGCATTCCAACATCGTGCCTTCACTACAGCAGCAACAATCTGTTGCAAAGATTGTTGACAGTGCAGCCAAAAATCTTCAATCAATTTCCAATCAATCGTCGAACATTGATCCACCTCCACAAAACAAGAACAGTTCTTTAAAAAGGGCTGTATCCTATCTTGATGAATCGTTCCCTAATCATCAGTATGCATTTGGTCACAACAACAATTCAATGAGCAATAAAAATGCAAACGAACTAAAAGGTCGAAGCTACGAATTCAATCGCACTGAATCAGTCACCAACTGATTATCTCATCAACATGATCATATTTATTTGTAATCATTCACATGAACAGTCACCTTAATATTTCTTACATCTTTACCTGTCACCTGATACTCGGTTCTTTAGAATTTTCAATTTTTTGATTAACCAGCTAGCCGTCAAGTTTGGACACGTCAGCTTTTTATGCTAATTTTGTCAGGCAGCAACAGTGAGTTCAGTCAACTTATAGACTGTTGATTTGCTCACGAGTAACTTCGATACTCTTAATGATTCATGAAATAAAATTCATATATCGTGCTGAACAGTTTAAGAGTATTTGAGTAGATGTTCAAAGTGATGATGTATCAGTGGTACGCACTCAGTGTTGAATTATCGTTCGTGTCATTTGCGTTTCTTGTGAATTATTCATTGTTGTGGTGGAGTGCAACTTGATGTGTTCTTGTGATATGTATTATTGTTATTCGACAGTTTGTTATCAGAAGTTTGTGATTAAATCGGTTGTCAATAATATTGTTTCCAGTGAGACGCGCTATCACTGCCTAGCGAAACGGTATCGCCATTTCGTTACGTAGCTATAGCGAGCTAATGCCCATCCTGGATCGTTTCCGCTTAAAGCTTGATCATACTTTAACGCATTGTAATGACCGTCCTTTGTTGTTATAATCTGGTGATTTTTAACGGTTAAATTGTATGGGAGAAAGGTGCAATATGACGAATGGTTTACATAATGGCAATGTATTGTGAGAAAACATTATAACGTGTTAAATTTATGACGGGTTGTTCTGTAATAGCGCTGCACATGCATATTCGGATGCAGTTTTATGCCTTAGGTGCATATGCTTATTGAAGTGTAAGGAACAGTTGCTGTTAGGGTCAACGAAGGTTTTATACTTGAGTTGTATTCAAAGAGTGATCGAGTATGAGCATGAAACCAGTGAGGGGCACGCCACTGAAAAACGTAGCTCCGCTTTTACTGATGCGCTGAAAAAATGTTTGGTTCGAAGAAAATAATGCGTTGTCGCGCATTACTTTTAGCAGATCATCTGAACATAGCTACACGTATTATTATACGAATACTTATCGATCATGCGAGAATACTGAAGAGAACTCCATAGCACTGCCACCCAACTTACTTGAAGCCAACTAGCTTAGTGATCTCAGTCGGAATGCTAGTGGTGTATTTATAAAAAACACTTGAGGTGTGATTGAATATTCGATTTGGAACCGTTTGGAAGAGTATGGGTAAGGTAAGGTCGAATTTAGTACTTGTCAGTGTTACAGTCAGTGCAAGTATGTTTTTACATACTTTAATGTTGCAAAAAATATGCATTCATTTGCAGACGAATAGTTAGCGGAAGTAGTTAGCTGAAGCCCTAACGTTTGTGAAAAATTAGCTTACTGGAACGCTAACCAAAGACAGTGATGGAAGCTATCGCTAGAAATTTGAGAACAGTAGCTTGCTACCGCTATTCCATTAAGAGCGGAACAGCGATTGCTCATCGTCACATAAAATCATGCTGATGCGATCTCTTTGACTTAGTCATAATGTGAACGACAGGAAATGAACAAAATGCAAACGTGTTGGTTCGAGGGTTTGACTGTTGAAAATACAGTGTCTTACCTCGATAGTTTCTTTATAAAATTTTTTTCAGATGTTTCATTCTATTTCAGTATACATGCATTATTGATGTTGATTACTAGCAAAACTGAAGACGCATTCAATTTTATTCCACTCAGATCTTATTCATTACCGTCTTCGTTACATTGTATTGCTTCTATAATACATCTGTAGTGCTGAATTGGTCAAGATTGATCATAGGTAATGCATGATTCTTATGTGTGTAGAGACATGGATAGTGTTGAATTGATCAAGATTGGTCGTGGGTAGTGTATGATTCTCATGCATGTAGCACCGTTCAAAGACAGCAATGATGCCGTGCTCTAACTGCTGCATGAAGGAAGTGATTTCGACAAAAGTGCAGCATTTCGGTGATATCATCAAAAAACTGTATCAAGTAAACATTATAATGATCAGCAGTGCCTGGCGGATGGATGATCGCCAACGTTATTTGTGCATAGTGTTGACCGCCGCAATGCGTTTTAGACTGCAAAAACTCATTCGCCTTTTGCAACTTCATCGAGTTATCTCTTTGAAGTGATGGTATTATAAAGGCTTTCAAATCTCATTAACCATCCACGGCTCACTGTAAGCTTCACATCCATCACAACCAGGTATTTTCTCACGGATAGTTTTAACACTTCCGGACGAGACACAGTTTAACTAATCGAAGCACACTGCTGATTTGATTCATGTATGAAAACCGCTAAGTTGCTTAATCTCCTTGTAAATTTTGCCTCTTTCAATCTTGAAGGTATTTTAACGCTGGGCATCACCTATGACATGGGATAGAGGTTGATCTTCCTTACGCACAATCGCTGATAAGGCTGTAGCGAAAAGATCGAGCAAATTCGAAGCAAACTTTCATACCGTTTTGTATCTGCTACTTTATCTGTCGATAAAATTAGGAAGGCGTTCCACGTTAACGTTTTTAATAGAATTTATTTTTGATATCACTGTACAAAGGGTCAAAATAAGGGTAAACGCAAGCCTGGGGAGGAAGGAGGGCTTCGCATACAAACTGAGGTCGTGAATACTCATCTAATTGCTAGGAAGTGCTGATGCTATTTATTGAGATTTTATCCAAATGGATTGCTTATCAAGTTATCTGACTAGCAGACTCATAAACTCTTTAATTGCTGAAAGCATTCTAGATTATTGCACATGTATCATCACACTGTATATTCCGGTTTAGTTTATGGTGTTATTTTCGCTTGTTCTAATTGTTTCTTGAATATTGTCATTTCATCAGGCCCATTTTCAATTGATTTTATGTAGTAAACTTTTGAGAAAGAATCGGTGTACCTCGAAACTGACGTCGTTGGAAGAGCAGTCGAAAAATGACTGTACTGGCTTGTGGCGTTATGTTTAAAAATATTTTTTTTGATTAGGTGATCGTCAATAAGGACCACCCAATTCGCTAGTGCAATGGTATTTGCTCGAATGTTGGACTGAATAAGGCGACGTAGCATGATGTTTATTGACTGTGAATTTTAGCGTTTACTGTAAATTGGAAACAGAATGGTTGATGCTCGACCGTTTGATGTGGAAACAACACTTACCGATATAACCACTTTCGATGATACAGAAGATCTAGTTGAAATATCCAGTTTAGCACCCCTGGGTTTGTCATCAAATAAAGTGTTGTATAGAATAGTTGATGATTTCTAATCTTGCTGATGCTGCCGCAGCAAAAAGTAATTGTGTGATTTCAACTTTAGAATTATCTAGTTTGGGAAGTTCTATAAAAGATGGCAGTTCGGATAAACGGAAGTCAAAATCAGATGGTATCAAGTCGTCAGATGAGCGGATTGATAGGCGTATCATCCGTAAAATATTGAGTACTTTCATCGTGCAGGCAAGTCATCGTATTGAAGTGACATTACATACTAGTGCTACATTTTGGAGTGGCTGAACAAATCACATTATCGCATTATTTCAGGACGATGATGCTCCTTATGCAAATGGAGTGCTGAAAACGAGTGGAGTCATTTTTATGAGTTACATACAAAACTGCTTATTGCTTTCCTTCATTATTGTTCGAATTCCATGGATTATCGGATTTCTTGGATTTTATGAATTTGTTGCCGCAATTTTGTTCGATTTCATCTTGGTGAATCATCATTCATCAGTTCTATTCTGTCAGTTTTGCGGCTGGAAAATAGTTACCTCTGAATGAGGTGAATAAAGTGAATGTCGACGGATTATAGCAGTGTTCTATTCAGTCACCTGATCTTTAGCGGTTTTAAGAAATCATGTGAGATGTTTTAGGTGATCATATCAGCATGTTCAGTAATTGCTGCTGCAACGAATGGAAGTGATCGATTCTATGGGGGACCGTTCGTTATTTTCACAAATAATTTTAACAGCGATATTGCAGTCATAGGTGAAAATGTTTAGTGATACAAAAAAATTTATGCTGGTTGTTTCTTATTATGCATCCATCCTCAATTAGCGTTTATCACAGTGTAAAGTCTTCTTAGAACACTTATAGTCTATAATCGAAACGAGCATCATATTCCTCGCATTCATGAGTAATCAAACACCGATCTGAACAGCCGAATTCGTTGCATGAATGTTCGGACAATCCTGTTTATTGCTTCAGATTTAGAAAGAAGCGACTATCCAATATTCAGTTTGAGACTGTTATAAAAAGGCATTATGTGAATATTCGAAGTGATGTATTCACACCACACTGTTGGAGTTGGAATGTTTGTAACGAAGATGTTTATTGTTTAGTGACAATTCTTTTGATGGTTGCGAATGGTGGTTTCTCAGCAGCCAGTTGTATGATATGCTCCGAGATGATGTATCGTTATGCCTCACATATTCCCGCTTTGAGTATCCATGAAACACGGCAACTGATTCGAAATGTATCGCTCATCTCCATAATCGTTTTAAAATTCACCATTCTTCTTTTACATTTCATAAGATTCATCACCAGTTGTTGAGTTGTGTGAACTGCTTGAAGTAGGTATCGTTCATTTCAATACTCTTATAAATGAATGAGCACTGTAATGAATTATTGCAGTGCTCATTCATTTCTTCATTCATCAGCACACAGCTTCTTGACACAGGTCGATGTATATTGCTTGATAATCGATTTTTCAGAACGCCTCAGTGTTGGAGGAACTGCAGCTTCGCACGGAAAATGATAGCCTTTCATGGGTCTACTTTTATATATTTCTTATCCTTCCATCGATCTACACAAGTGTTGGCAAAAAAATTGTGAAATGTAATATGAATCGATATCAAATGTGACCGTCTGCTTATCAGTTAATTAATTTCTCATTGCAGATTTTTTCTGGGTTCCAGTTGTATTTTTTGAGATATCAATTGCTGCGATAGTTCCCAGTTTACTTCACTTGAAATGGAATGGATTTGTGGAGATGAGATGCATGCTTGGTAAAACATTTTTCGTTTGTTTGATCCAAATTTGAAGAGCTGAGGGTTGTTTCGACGGTGCTAGATAGAGAGCCAAATTGCAGAATCGCAATCAGATTTACTCTTACCAAATAATTTCCACTGTTGCATTGAACTGCTGAAAATTTTCATAGCATAAAGTTTGTAATGGAGGTAAAATTGAGGAGACGATCAGATGCCGAGCTCAATTTTTAAAACATTAAGTGCATTACCAATCTCTGCACCTGAAGATCGTGGTGTCATGGGCAATTGCAAGTAAGCTGATAATTCATGCAGATTTATCATCTTCCAGTACATTCTGTTACCCAAATAGTTTAGCCGAAATTGCATTAGCGGAAGTTTATGAACCGTTTATGGACAGCCGAGATGAGGATAGGCTGTATAATTTCATTTAAACTTTTATGCGTTGTGCATCGAAGCGAGTACATTAACAATTAGCTTGTTTTTTAACTGCTGATTTTATTTTGAAATTGATTGATGTTCACTCTTGGTTTGTTTTCGAATTAAATCAAGAATACTGTGGATGTTAGAATATTTCGACTTCACATCTGATTACCGTGAAATTCCATTGTTTTTCGTAGATGTACCATTCTTCAGTCATGCATTTATAAGCCGAATTCTCGCATGTTCACCCGAACTTGAGAGGTGTAATGAAGAAAGACTGTATAACAAAACTATTTCTTGGAATTTCAACTTGGTTCTGTCTAATTTCGATCAGAATATCGCATCACTGAATAATTTGGAATTTGATGATTGGCGAAATATTATTTATGATTCGAGGATTTTCGATCGCATCTCTGCTTCTGTGCGTTTCTTTTCTCATTATTTCTTCAGTAGAAACGATTGATTGTCAGTGTCACTAGATGTTGATCATTCTATTGATATAGCATTGCTGCAATAGATATTGGATTTTATTTTAGGTATGGTATAATCTATGTTACATTATGAGGTGTACTTATATTTGTGAATAATGCAATGAAATTTTGAGTGCTTTAGTTGGAAAATGAGAAATACAGTCAGAATCACATGAATCGAAATATATTCGTCGTTGAACCTAAAGATTTTAGAATGTGCATATTGCTTCATTCATTGGATGTATTGTAATGATGTTGCCATTGTTTACTGGCACTGTGCTGGGTGCAAACGTTCCATCTGCACTTGCTTCGCCAACCAAAAAGATGGCTAGAGGTGTCCTTTCAGCAATCACTGCTCTATTAATTGTTAGTTCAAAATATCTTTGCTTTATTGTGGTAGCATCACTCAATGAAGTGGTAACATTCAGGTGATGATCTTAATCGGTGTGTTAACTGCTGTCATGATTGAAAGGGATCTACTACTTGACAAGTTCGGTGAAGGCAGTATTCGACACTTGTCCTTTCCGCTAACCGTTATAAGCCCACTTTTCATTATCATCACCGTTATTACTATGTCAACCGTCGCAGCTGGACAGTATATGCTCAGTTAGCGTTTTGAACCGCTCTCCTTCATTTTCGGTTTCAACTTTGAAGATTGCTCAACTTCAGCAGCGAAGTCACTTCTACTCAGCTTGATAACGAGTCATAGATTCCGAGTACCGGATTTCTTCTTTTACCGTAAACATAAACTGCGGCACATGACTGCAGTCTTGTTAACGATGGCTATGGTTGCGTTGTTCGCACTTCTTCGCAGTGTTGATTGCATATTAATTGCCAGTGGTTGTGCAGTGCTGGGTGCACTCAGCTTAATTAATTTTTGTGCTGCTATCAATTCGGTTCTTCAGTTACCGAGGTAGTTTTGAGTTGTGTTCAGATTAAGTGACTTGATTTGTGAGTTTTGTTCATAATCGCACACATTTTAAATATTCATTAATGATTTCGGTACACCACTCGGTTTCGAGCAAAACTTTCCTCCGTGAGCGGGAATCGAACTCGCGACGTACCAATTACCGGTTGGGGCTCTACCTCTGAGCTTCGAGTTCCGTTCGCAGAGGAAAGTTTTGCTTAAAACCGAGTTGTGTACCAATATCATTAATGTTGTGAGCCTGAGTCAGGCTATGATCCGGCTTGTATCTATTATCCAATTATATTATATGTCAAAATTGAGCTGGAAGCCTCCAACGAATGTGTTTTATTGGCCAGTAGCATTATTGGGTGCGTTTGGATGTTGGACGATAGCATTCAGAACAGAATCCGGAGTTGTGCTGGTAATAACGATTTGTGCAATAGTTTACTATACTGGCAATAATATGATCACTCGTCGCTATTCATTGCGTGCGTATCAAGAGCTATTGCTGGATTTAGCCAATATGCTCCTTTTCACGATACCAGTTGGTGAATTCAGGTTGATTCAGTACTTCGATGTTGTTCATCGCATTCTCATTGCATTTCGAACAAACGCTAGTTGATAAACCATAACGTTTTATCAGATTCTTCTTACAGATCCTATGCTGAAATGAGGGTCAGACCGAGATGTATCATCTTCACTAGATTTCCAGCATCAAGCGACAATCTTTTACGTCTAGTGAAGCTGATTTCAGAGAGTCAATATTTATACTTGTCATTTTTATTTTAACATACAAATTCCCTTCGTATGAATCAAACCTTAATTAGTAAATCACATCATCAGTCAACAGTTTTTAATATTTTTATGCAATTGATATTTCAATTTTGTGAATAAATTTCTTTTGACGAAATAAAAGCAAAATAACGCTCTTGGTTGTAAGTGGATGTTTAAAAAAATTAATCTTTAGAACCATATCAAATGTTTTATGCCTTATTACTCTATGCAGAAAGGGAACATAATAATTTGTAGCTCTTACGAAATTTGTTTTAATTTGATTTGAAAGCCCTTACTGAGTATTTGATCTTATTTTCGGCGGTTTTTGATCGATTTCACTTCGTCAAATCAATTACTTGGTTAACTGTAGAGAATTGGTCATGTGTTTTAGATCGGAATGCATTATGCATATCTCTAATTCGGTATGTATATGACCAAGAATATGTTGGTAAGGCAGATATCTACGCATCGCAACGTTCGATGATTGCGATCAGTCTGGATGGTTATGCTACCCAGTTTATGTATCGTAAGGTTGTTGTTTCATAGAAATATTAATTTTATCACTATCATTAGTTTACTGCTACTGTGATCGAGTATTCGGCTGATGTATGACATTATCACTTTGTATGATCAATTATAATTTTATATAGTATACTTATATATAATCAATTATATCACTGATAATGTAATTAATTATTTTGCATTAATATATAATCAATAATTTTTATATAATGACAATTTCGTATAATTATATGCTCAATTATAATTATAATTTTGCATTCGAATCATAAAACACAAGCGATTTTTTGTGGTAAGACATTGCTTGAATATGCAACTATTTAGTTGATGACTTTTTATTGAGTATCAACAATGTTAATTACTAATTACAACAATGTTACAGATTAGTTCTCTGCATTCAATTGCATCAGCTCTAGCGAACTGCTGTGGTCTTGGAGCGTTTCATTCAAATACGATTATTCTTGACTATCCAACTCGGTGAAGCATCCATATCTCTCTCTCAATGAACTAGTTGTTCGCATTGCTTTGTGCATGATCATTTTTATCCAGTTACTGTTTTTCACATGTTCACGATGCGAAAAATAAATACCGTATTGTATTGAATCGAATTTTTGTGGTGATCACAGTATTACACAATAAAGCGTTTTAATGCTTTCATCATTCATTTCGAGCACTACCCTCGCTAACTGTCAATATTTGAAATTGCAGTGCCACGTTGTCGGGAGCAGCTGAGCAAATTCTCTATCATTATCATATGCATCGTGTTTGTATTCGACAATGTAATCTGATATTGGTGAAGGGTCATTTTCCATTAACCGTAAATGTAAAATTTTCAAATTCTTTCATAATTACATCAATTTTTACCTTGATTTTTTGATTATGCCATATATCGTTTTGCAACTATGGGTAATTCTCTCATAAAGCTACGAATGATTATCACTGTCGACTTTATTGAACGTCTTTGAAAATTAATATTGTTTGTTATGATATATGTAATACTTGTAGGCGTTATTTTCGCAGTTTGTGATAGATGTTTGGTGGATTATTGATAGTGGTGACACTCTTGTTCTGCTTGCGCATCTTTTGAAACGGAATGAATCATGGCGAAGGGCGATCATTCGACTTTTTGTTGTAATCGAAACGTTAGATGACGGTAATCTCATTGAGGAGGACATTCGGCGATGGCTTCGTTCCAATCGTATTTCACTGCAAAGTGTCGAAATCATTTATGCTGATGTCAGCAGTTATTTATAACATTCTTTTATAATACTTCAATCATATATATTTAAAAAAAAGTTTTCAGTTCATGTTTTTCTCTTGGTTAAATTAATTTTGTGAAGCTCTATCACCAGTGTAGTGAGATTGCTAGCTTTGAAATAGGTAACCATTTGCAGCATTCATCATAAGTGTAAGTGATTTTTGCAAGCGACTAAACCACGTCAGTAGCTTCAAGGACTGCGGTAAATTCAGCTGTGTAGCATTCGGAATGGCACAAGAAAAGTTGAAATAGCCAAGTATTTTAGCCAAAGGAGAGCATAGCTCAGAATGCTCGTTTAACATTGCTTTATACAGATGTTTCTAGGTTAACATTGTTAGCCGTATCGGTAGTTCATAAAATTGTTGCTTCCCCACTAAAAGCCTTCAGCCGAAGCAGAGTATAATTGCAGTGTTCATTTATTTGTGAATACACGTCTCTAAGAGGACTGAAAATTAGTCAGCGATTCGGTGATCTACCAAAACAATCGGTATTCGCTAAAGTGGCCAAGTTTTTGGGACTGTTCGTTTTGTTGAATTTTTTAACGATAATTGACACTAAGATTAAAGGACTATCTGTGGTTCTTTGGTATTTACGGACATTAGCAGAATTAATGAAATCTCAATATTAGGCAATTTATTAAAAATCAATATCATATTTACCTCAACGATTAGTCAATGCACAAATAACAGTTATATTTTTGATGTTGGCTGCTCAGTGGCTAAAATTTTGATCAAGCAGTTATGGTGTATGTTATTACTTCAACTGCATGCAATTTGTTTCTTTTTTACAGCTATGATGGCAATTTATTACAATCGGCAGTTGATAAGGGTTATCACGCAGGTGATAATGATACGGAACTAAGGTCGTCATTCAGTTACAAATCACTTCCTTCAAAACAAGCTAATATTTCGAAAACTGAACAACTTGTACGTTGTTTTGATCTGTTTTCTAATTCTGTTCCCGTTGCGATTAAAAATTTGTTTGTTTCGAAATGTTTATTTGGAATCGAAATAAGTGGAATTTACAAATTTCTCAGAATGCAACCTTCACTCTGATATTTCAGCTTCGAGCACAGTCCTTAAATAGAATGATTCTGGATAGAAGTAGTGAATCATTCTTGATTTTACTGAATATTCCCGAGCCTCCGGCGCAACTCGAACGTTTTTGGATTTATTTATTGTTTATCGATAAACTCACCGAAGGTGTCAATCGTGCCCTTCTCATTCGAGGTATCGACTGTGAAACATTGGCTGATAATTGTGAATGACTGAAGGTTACTTGTTATCTCAGCCCAAAATTAGCTTCGTTCTCATTCTGTTCATCATATCAGTTTCGTTATACCCTATGTTCACTGCCGAATTGTGATGAAAGTAAATAAGACTCATAATAGTAATGTGCTCAAATGAATAATAAAATGCTTGTTATGATGGCACTGTTTTGCTTTTCGCACACCACTGAGCAAGCGCGCTTATCAAATATATTACGTCATCTCATTTTCTGCGTATCGTCTCCATTATTCATATGGTTTTAAAGGGTAATATCTCTTACAGTACAGGATTAGGTTAAGGTCGATACTCAGGCTGAGGCTGATGTTTAGGATTAGACAGAGGTTGAGGCTGAAACTTAGGCTTAGGCTAGTGTTCTTACTGAGGCCGCAGCCAAACCTCAGGTAACGTTGTGGCGAGCCGTGAAGAGAAGTTTTCTATAACAATTAGTTTGAGATGAATTGTCGAGGACAGTTCACTGGGGCACTTGTTCGGAGGGCGGTTTCCTCGCTGAAAATTGCCTGAGGACACTCCTCTGGGGAGCAGTTGTCTTGAGGTCAGTTCTCCTAGAAACACAAAAAATATGCGAACGTTATTGATGAAAGCTCGTCAAATTCACGTTTTTGACGCTTTGATCCGATTTATCGACTTTTGTGGAAACCTCGGAGAATCCCCCAAAATCTTTTGGAAAATGGGGATCCCCGAAAATTTCGGAAAAATCGGAGGTGAAGTTTGCAGTCGGGGACCTCGAAAATGCGACCGTCTTTAAAATTTCGAGGACCGTAGAACCGCGCTGCCCACAACGCACTAGTAAGTTTGTTTGTTGTACTTTCACCAAGTATCATCAGCATAAGTTCGTTCGGTTAATGCAGGGAAAGACTTAAATGTTCACGTCATGTTATGAGTGCATTTGTTTTTCAAACATATTAATTTGCCAAATCCAGTCTGTTATCAACATTCACTTATCAGCACATATCTAAACACTCATATCAAAGTACTGATATAAGTCTAGACTGCACGATTGATTAGCATGCATGTTATGAGATGCTTAACTGTGCACAGTTCTGTTTATTCATGACATATGAAATAAACGCTCACACATTTGGGTGCTTGTCTACTGCTCTCGCACCGTCATTTTATTGCAATATGCACTTTGTCTGAAGTGTTAGCTTTGATTGTATTCACTTGTGTCCAATTGCGATTCCAATAGAGTATGTTGCTGCGAGGTAGGTGCGGAATGTTTTATAAGCTCTTAGACAACCTCAAATGTTTTCACAACATGATACAGGGGACTTGAAGTACACATATAAAGCTTTCATCCCCATGTATCTTTTGCAAATTAAACGACAGACAAGATTTAGAATTTTCGAAATGTTTTTATCAGTTTTTTTTGGAGGAAACGTTCTGTAGAGCCTACATTTCGTCTCAAACATATTGCCTTAAAATACACAAGGATACTCTCTTGTTTACCGATTCATTGGTGCGTCTTCGGCGCTTTGATCAGTGCATTGTGCTCTCTTAACATTACGAAATTACTTGCTCTTAACAAAAAATGTGCTACTTCACATGTCTGAAGCGTGATTATCCACTCAATAAATAAAATGAATATACGTACAACCACAATATAGCTGTCATTGTATACCTGATATCATAGTTAACTTATAAATTTGTTACGAAATCGATGGATCGTTGACAAGCGCTAGGAAAATTAGGAAATTATTCTTCGTACAACCGGTTGTGAATGGGTGTCACGATTTGGAAAGCAGTCACCTCGTTTTTTGCTTGATTAAATTTATCTTTATTATCGAGTGTCAATTAACATGTTTGTTGATTTTCTTGTAGAATGTATTAATCGTACAGGTTTCCGGTTTAGAATTTTCCAGAGGTTGGAGTTTGATCACTAGATCATAAATGCTGACATGAGTTCAGAGCTGCAAATCACCTCTCACCATCACAGATGCAGCGTCTTTCGAGTACACCGTTTTGAGAGAAAGCAGGAGTGAGAATGGAAAAAAATTAAAAATGTTTATTTCTTCAACTAACATTTATGAATGCAGTTGGAATGAATTTTAATCAGAAGCGTGAAAGAAGTGGAAAAATTAGTCGAGTATAATTGGTCTTCGAAGAGGTCTTTGTTTGTGCAGTATAGCTTGAACATCTCCTGAGGCATAACATAAATCTGCAAAACTGCCCTCCTTTCCGATCGGTCTCGATGTCCTTCTGTTGTGCTCATATATCTTAATGGAAACGTTCTTTTGGTTCATCGCTCACTGACTGCAATTTTGTGGGGAATACTCTAAATGTGAGTTGGAGAAGTGTGTTGTTTTCGAAATGCAATCAGCAGGAGCACAGAAACTCTGAACAATTCGATTGCACTTTTATTTTCTGCACTTCGATGGTTACTGGAAATGTTTTTGTTATAATGGAGTTTAGCAACTGTTGAACTTTTTTCTCGTTGTCATTCATACTTCCGTCGAATTTGCTTCCGTCGATCATTCACAACCTTGTCAAACAATTGTTTACAATTTGTCTTCCCTTATGCACAGAGATTGTTGCTTCATGAAAGCGAAAGCATGGCTTTCTTTGTTTGATGATATGGCGAAATCCCCTGGGATTTTTAGTCTATACTGTTGGTTTAACATATTCATGTCTACAGTGTAAACTATTTAGATTATTCTTGCCTTTTCGAATCGTTCTCAAACGCTGTGATATCAATGGAAGTACTCTCGCATAAAATTGCACTCTCGAGCATAGTATATGGTGTACTGGGCCACACACGCTAAAGTGCCAGCGCCACATGGTTCCTATCATTCCGCCAGCCGAGGCACCAGAGAACGATGCTGAATTGTCGCAGTTTTCCGAAAGCGAAATCTCAGCAGAACTGGACTTGACACTTTCAGAATCCTCATGCAAATCATATGTATTGTTGATGCAAAAAGTGCGATCAGCCAGATTTTAGATGAACGGCAGAAAGTGATTTATATTTGTCAGAAAACATTTCATGCGAAATTTCAGCCAAAAATATCCTCCGTGTTTGCGTCCTAGACTCGAACTTTTCAGTTTGTCAACAGACCCATTCATTGCAAAGTTTAGGCGTTTAGTTGCAATAAAACTACCGTGTTATCGAAACAGGATTAATATCACACAAGCACAAAGGGAGAAGATTATCCAACAAACAGTACATACAAATATTCCATTTCATCATGCTTATGTTGTGTTCTATCCGTATCCGTTATATCCCTATTTAAGGTACTAAGCGAAAGGTTGATTCATCGATCACTTTTGTCCATAGATCACTTTGGTCTTTCTTTCTGACGAATCGTATCGTTCGCGACACAGAACGTCTTTCCTCGTCGTTAAATTTTCGGTTTTGTTCTCCGGTATTTGATGTTTATTTAATCAGTAATTACAACTCATTACGAGTTTATTTCTCATTGTTATCAGCAATATCACATTCTTCCTTCCGTGCAGCTAACGATAATAGCGTTCATGAAATTCTAACTCGGATTATTGATTTGGCGAGCACAGAGGTTCTGAGCTATCGCATCATATTGCCCAATGATTTCTAGGGAAAGGGACTCGAAATAAGCCCGAATATGCCCTCCGATTGATCGATTGAAAATGCGTCCAACGATCGATCAGAGTAGCTGTCTGAAGCAACCAACAGTAATAAGCCAGTAATCGTTCGGAATCAATTATAAGCAACGATTTTATTTTTTTAGTGCTACCGAATAGATCCATAGCGATCGACGTATTAAACATTTCACAACCAGGCTATAATGGATGGCCGTTGCCATAAATATTTTGCATAATTAAGCCAAGCTGAGTGGCAATTTAGTGAATAATTGTAGCAATGATAAAATTTTTACCGATCATCCAGAGTAATCGGTAAACAGTGGCCGAATCCCAAGTCCAATCCCAATATTGGGTGTACCAGGCGAGGAAATTATTCATTTCATCATAGAAGTAATTCATCCAGAATTTAATGAACAGTATCATGAGCTGCTCGAAATATTTGCTATGGCAGTGAGTTGTAATCGGCGCTGATCATTCCTCTTCGTCATTTTATCCCACCTTTATGACACATTATCCATCGATTTCGACACATCATTCATTTCAAATTCTCACCAAAATTCTCTCACGTCAGACAAATCTATGCAAAATTTTTTTCAATTTTATAATTACTGCACATCTAAAGTATACTCTTCATGTTGCAATGTTTATTGAAACTGCGCGCTGTATCTCACTGATTTCTAACGTTATTTATTGTTTTCTATTATAATTATTAACACCGTTCCTTGAACTTCAATTCCAATTACTTCAATTTGCGCATACTTTTTGATGAAATGTTTTTCTTACTATACATTCATCACGTTTGTGCAAACACGGTTGGTTTGTCAGTCATTTTTACAGTTAATATTCATTCGAACAAGTGAAGTGGATCAATGATGTTGAAATACAGGAAATAGTGCAAAGACGGTTGACGTTACCTGTTCAAGCTACTCGAGCGACGTATACATATTGTTGAAGATTACGAAACTTTATGCATAAATTCCCAATTAATTTCCTTTCTTTGAACATTCCAAATAGAAAAATAAAATCGATAAATAACGAAAAACAGAAGGAGACACGCTCAGCGCCAGTTGCTGCTTATTTATTTATTTAATCAGCAAATCAAACCCATTACGAGTTTACGCCTCTCTTTTATTACCAATATCATATTCTTCCTTCCTTGGCATTCTTCCTTCCTCGCAGCTAACGATAATAGCGTTGTGAATCATCTGTCTTCATGAATTTCTAATTTGGATTATTGATTTGGCAAGCACAGAGGTTTTCGGCTACTCTCCCATGTTGCCCAATGATTTCTAGGAAGAGGGACTCAAAAGGAGCCCGAAAGTATATTCCGATTAATCGACTGAACATCCGCACAACGATCGTCGTTCAGAGTAGCTGTTTGGACAGTAGTAAATCATTGATCTTTCGGTATCAGAAATAAACAATTAATGTAATCGAATAGATCCATAGCAATCGGCGTATAAAACATTCCATAAGCAAGCAATAATGAATGCCGGTGCCATAAATAATTTGCACATTTGAATACAACCGAATACCAAGCCGTTAAACAGCCGCAACAATAGAAACGGGAAAAAAGTTTTACTTTTGTATTCCGCTAGTATGTAAGCTGAAAACACGTTAAGCTCATAAAATGCTGCAAATGAATGGAAACATTCAATGATCGTTGACAAACGCGAATGAGCACTAATCTCATTAGAAATGCAAATCTACTGCAAATAACTCGCTAGTTGTTCTTCGTGTTTCTGAAATTACATTAATTTTTGAACATTCTTTGTGTGTTCTCATTTCAGTGCGGGTATTATGAGCGAAGATAACGAAAATACGGAGATGACGAATGGAAGTTTGGTGAGTTGTTGAGATCAGATTTGTGTTTGTTACGTTCAGCTAAAGTGATTTGACTCGTTTGCATGCATGAACTGCTACTCAAAAACATGAACTGTTCAGTAAGAGAGACGACTCAATTTCATTCCATTTTTACATCTTTCGAATAGTTATTTTGTTACAGTTTTTTCATCGAACCTGGTCGTTGAACAATTGGACATTGTGTAGCAATTGATTTTTTTTAAACCAAAAAATATGTTACAAAAGAAATGAAGCACTGAAACTCAACGGCTATCGATTGTTAAACATTATTGATGTTTTCAACAAATCAAATGGTTGAGCACTTATTGTAGTTCAACATTTGAGACTCAGAAGGTGAATCTGGAACTGTTCAAAATTTATAATGTAATTCTCAAAAATTCCTCCCAAAACGGTCATTTATTGTGGTGAGAAAGCACCGAGAAGATTTTATTGATGCTTGATGAAAATGTTATGTTAAGAGAGGGTCGGACATGTACATTAATTCGTTGCGAGTGATTGCAAATGAAGTGCAGCAACTGCGTGAAGAAATTGACGATCTCTTGGTATGTCACTGAATGATTTTCGAGTGGTTTTAATAAGCGAAAACTTCAACAATTTGTGGCATAACTCTGTTATTTATCGGAAAAGATGTGGCGAAGGTCAAAATTAGACAGCGCCATTTTTTTCAGAGAATGATCATAGAATATTGCCGTTAAAATATTAATACATTCCAAGCTGGTATAGAAAAATCGCATTTCTCGTATAATCCACTTATGAGGATGGTATTTTGATGGCGTATTCACTTTTATTGTTCATCTAACACTGTGAATGTTTCACACATTTATTGTGTTGTGACTTAGTGGAAAGAAGATATTTTCAGTGCTCGAAAAGAGATTATTACGAAGTATCAAGATTACAACAATCGAAGTTGTTCGAAGCCAAAAAGATATTTTTGGATCTCTATGATGAATTTGTAAGAAATCGAATCAGTTTGATTGATCTGTTGACAGAGATTGCCGAAGAGGTATGTTGGTATTTTGGATTGAACATATTTGAAAGTGCAGCGTTAAAATGTTTTCCAATGAATTGCAGCAATATATTATACGATATTTGTGAATCTGTATCGTGCTGCATATTTGTGTTTTTTGTCACTAGTCAAGATGTTCATTTCAGGCTAAGAATGTTAAAAAATCCTGTAATATCTCCATGATCACTGGCAGCTCAGTGGGCTTAGCCGGAGGTATTACGGCACTTGTAGGAACAGTCGCCTTTCCTCCCCTGTTTCTTGGAGGTTTGTATGGCATTTATTATTCAACGCCTTTTGCTCATCTAGTGTGAGGATGCCCCACATTCATAGTTCATAATTTGTTGATTACTATCTAAAGGGTTCAAAGCAAGTGAACAAACACACAGATAATAACAGATCTAATCACTTACATCTCGGTAGTGATAGACACAATGAACGGTATTCTGTTGAAACTTGTTCTCATCTGACCGCTGAGTTCAATTATTTCATGCGAATTTTCGCGGGCGATAAAAGATCACTCATCTATGGTTACATTATCGGACTCGTGATCAGTTCATGGCAAAGCTGTTTCAGTAAATTTTGCCAGCTAACAATAAGAATTTATCGTATTGCGGACATCTGTTTGGCTATGTCTTTTCATTAATGACAATGAGTTGTGAAAAATTAAATAGTTGTACATAATCTACTACCTCACATCTCGTTAACATTATGCATTTGTAGGTTTGGTTGTATCTGGTTTGGCAGCAATATCAAATATAGGCACCAAATTAGCTGAGTTTGCCATTTTTCACCAAATGCTGAAAAAAGTAGAAGAAAAGTTGAAGATAGATAATGCGAACGCAGATGTGCTGGAATCGGTATATGAAGAAATTAAATTGGGAACACTCGTAAGTTTCATGTGTTCGTTGATGGCCGTAGGTCATTGCTGATGATTTAACTCGATAAAGATGTGTTAATTCGAAGCAGTTAGCAATCTCACATCATTTTCATTAATCCTCACCCAAATGAGCGATATGTTCGTCCATTTACTTTGTTCTAATTTTTTTTTTGTTCACCCTTCTAATTTTTTGACTATTTATAATCCAGACATGGATACGATTTACCTCTCTTTAAGCCTAATTGTAAGAATAAGCCTAATTTTGAACTAGAGAACGATTCAAGCGAATGAGGCTAAATTGAATCCAAGTTACTTTTGTTATCTAGTTTCGTGACCATTAAAGGCCGTCCATGGAAACTTCCATCACGTTTGCTACAGAAGTTACCTGTTGTAATCACATAATAGCTGCCATATTTTGAAAATAACTCTGTTACTGTGACATGATATAACACCCGACCAGACCGTTGAATAGAGCCTTGCAGAAATTCCACAGCTGACTTATTACAAGATCAATATGGTTGCAGTTTGATCTTGATAGTATTGGCAGTCAAAAAACACTCAGCAGCCCCAACTTTGATATCTCGTCATTGGGAAAGGTTGGCTCAGGAGCTGTAGCAAGTGCAGTGGGTTTGGGATTCAGATCACTGGGTTTGAAATCAGTGAGCCTTTCTTCATTTTAAATATTCCTGTCTATGAAAAATTACAATTTTGATGATGTGCTGAAATATAATGCTATTCATCATAAACGTTTATTGCAGACAACGTTCACTACAACACTACTGAGAGGGTTCACTCGAAGTGTAATTGGTATAAGTATTCTTATCGATGGTGTAACCATAGTTATTTCAACTCGTGATCTTAACAACGGATCACGTAACGAATTTGCTCAAGAAGTGCTTAAGTTGGCGAATGTGAAAAAAACTGAACTTGATGAGTTGCGCAAAAAAGGATTTGAATCGATCAAAATGAAAAACGAGGATGTTAATTTTGCATCTGTATTATGAAGTTCCTCCTCGTCAGCGAGATATCCCGTGCTCATGTTCTAATTTGTGTAATGATTATAATAATCTTGATAATAAGTTGATAGTATTAACAACGCTAATAATACAAATAATATTAATGATAGCAATATCTTGACCACCAAAGCATTGCAAGGAAGGGCAATTCAAAAGGCAATTAGACGTACGGAATTTCCAAAGTTCCTGTTTCTCCATGATGTACAAACCTTAGAGAACAGAGAATGGATTACCTCACTGATCAAATGACCAATTTGACTTGTCCTCTGAATCGTATCACATCTATCTAACGGAATATTTTCTGAAAGTTCAATGTTTTGCTTCGGTCAGCTGTCTCGTCACTTGCTTTGGATCTAACTCACTGATTCGTCGTATTGCTCTGTTCATGCAGGCATAGCTTCATCCGATTTGTATTGACTTTTTCAATGATTCACTCAGCTACTTTATCATAAATTTTCTTATTCTCTTGGTCGAGCTTAATTAATAGTAACACTTGAACGTGCTAGTAATGGTAACACCAATAGTAAAGGTAATATTAATGATTAAAAAATCCATTTGCATGCTGAGTTGGATATGCCTTGAAACCCTATAATGAATGTGTTCACTGGTTCGTTGCTTTCATTCTGTTGTTGCTTTTTCTTCGAATTTTTCACTTCTTGCCCTTCTTCAGCTGTTGTTTATATTTACTTTCACATTGACTTATTCGGGTAAACCACTACTCTCGAAAACTTTACTGATTTGTATTCTTTTTTAACCAATTATTTTCGTTATTCATGTGACTTTGAAGTTTTAACCGTTTGATAGTTTGTACTAGAAAGTAAAGTACTTTATCGTACTCTACCTTCACTTCTGCCGTTGAAGGTGCAGTATTTTTGATGGACGGTAGAAATACAGAAGTGTACCAGATCTCTGGGTCAAATTACAGGTACGAGAACTTTAGGTAGAAATCTATCATTGCTCTTAACATTTCACAAATTGCCTTCATTCGAATAACCATCATTGCTTGAAACGTTATTTTGAACAAGGATGAATAAAAAGTTAATATTATAAGGTGTTTAATGCGCCAATAACACGCTAATTTTCAGCAGCTTATCGCTAATAACTCGCTGCGTTTTTAAGTGTAACTGAAATGTGTCTTATTTGAAATGATCATTTTCATTCAGTATGCAACAACATCTCGTCAAGACATTATCAGAAATGCGAAAAATCTGTATAAGGCAACGAGATCGACTTCACACGGTGTCGATGAACTACTCATAACTTTGGAGGTGTTTGTATGATGTGCAGTTTTAAACATATGGTATATGGCTCGGCGATTCGCTGCTCTGCATATTATCAACATAACGGATTGGAGTGGAAAGTAGTCATGTTATGTTTTTTAGCATACGACATCCGTCGAAGAGGATAGTTATGAATGAAGTTAAACATAGTGTTAAGTGAGTAATGTTATGTAAACGTTTAACAATAAAGTTTTATTACTGATTAAATCGATATACAGTAGACGATTGTAAGAATTACTGCAACACTCGTACTGAGAAGATACTCGTTACTAAGTTACTTAGAAGTCATATTACTTACTATCGTTGTCATTCAGAACTATTGGGATCGAAAATGAGTAATTTTCGATGAAATCAGTCGAATTATTAGTAGCTCTATGAGTAACTGTACACAGTTGAATATTCGTGTTAATTAGTTCTGACTGAATGATATGTATAACAAAAAGCAGAACATTTGGCAGCACTACACAAATGAACTGTAAATGAGGAAGAGCGAATGCTTAGATGTTAGTGTGGCATTGAACGATGTAATGATGCGCTCCATTCAGAAGAGGACGAACACGACGATGCATTCCCTCTATCCATTTCATATATATCCTCATGTGCTGAACATGTTGATGACTTACGCCTTCTACGTCCAGCAATTATTTCTGAGGTTATTATACTGGACGCCTTAAATGGCAATATTTTCGCTGAATATTTAAATGCACACGACAGTGTAATTAAATTGTCGTTATTATGTCATAATTCCGATAAAACAGATTTGTCGCGGTTGTTTTCGATGGTAATCCGCTTGATTTCATCACTTTATGAATTTCGACTGAATAAGCGATCGGGTCCATTCAACAAAGATGAACAGAGAAGAAGTATTCAAGATGCACAGAACGTTGAACAATCATATTAGATTCAATGAAAGAAGAGTATTTGCTAACGAAAGTTACGTTGCATTAATAAATGTCATGGAAGGTAAAGATAAGACCTACTTCCTCATAGTCTCGTAGCATCTCATTTTGACGAAGAGCGAAGCTTGGCTTTGCCGATGGCGTTTCCAGATTCGCTGTTGCGCTCGGTCGCATTGGGATGTGCGACTGGATCGCATCAGTGATCGTTGTATACCCTTCATTTCTTTTTAATAAACGTTTCCTGCAAAATTTAATTCAAACACCGGAGAAGAGCTCACAAAGAGTTGATATCGATTATAACTGTCGATCCAGTGTATCAATCGGATGATAGAAGTCTTCCAGCCGTCCTATTTTCTATCGAATTCAGCCCTATCTTATTGATAATTTAAATTTAAACTCTTCAACTAACCGTTATTGTCAAAGTTTCACAGATAGCAACTAAGTTTTTCACATGAATGCAAAACAACTGACAAACAAAGTCATCAACGAATTTTTGAAGCTTTCCTAATAAAGATTTGTGTCGTTAATGTGCTAACCGAGTAGCTGATTGCATTCAAAAATCATATGAAATGCTCTCTTCACTGACGTTAACAAAAGAAAAGAATGATTCAGGACCATTACACGGGTTTTATTAGTGGTCGTCAAAACAAACTGTCAAATGCTTCATGCCGAGTAGGAGGGAACCAGGATGATATTATTGATGTGTTCTTATAGATCTATATTTTCATTTATGGTTAGCTGAATTCAAAAATAGAGAATGGCCATTGAAAGATTCAGTTTACTAGCGAATTGCACTGTATGAGTAACTTACTCCCGAACAGCGTGTTGTAATGATCGTTCCGAACTGAACATGTTTGATTCAGGGTGACAGTGTTGCTTTTTAGTATCAGACAGCAGTGATGTTGGTCTGCGGTACTTTATATCAGAGTTGGTCACGAAATCACGTATCACTTGCTTGCTACAATCAGTCGACTGAGCGTTCAACATTGCAATTAATTGACGTTGATTTGCTTCTATGCTTTCCAAACGAGATTCAATCTCCCAAATAGTTGATTTAAAATTCCATTCTTCATTGAACATTTCTCTCCATCGCGAATACATAATCTCTACTCTGAAAATAAAGTCGATTATCAGAGATGTTGTTCATTCAAGTCAAATTTTCAACCTTATTTATATCAGAATACGTTTGATCTACCATGTTTAATTGTTCTATTTGACGAAATGTGATGACTTATTTTCAGATAAAGATGAAATTCGTACAGCACAAATGGAATGACGAGAAAATTCAAGTGATCAGTCATTGCAACAGCTCATTCAACGGATCCGGTAGAAATGCATACGTATTTTTAGGAAGTTCAATTTCAACTTCATCAATATAAACCAGCAAAAACCTTTCAGCAGTATTTTGGAGTCGCAATTCAGAATTAACTGATTCACTTAAAAAGTTTTTCCTTGATAAATCGTCCATGCAGTCTTCCTCAAAATCATGTAATTTACGCATTTCATCTTCATCCAAACGCACTTCTGAAATCAAAAATTGCTTTTTTTAAAGGGAATAACCGATCCTCATGCAAAATAATCCAACGAAATTGGTTTTATGCATAATTATGAATTTCTCTGGCTACGTTTCCATGCCCTTTTGTCTGATTGTGAGCTGTTTGTGAGGAATTGACTCATTTGAGTATTCTTCTGTCATTTTGGTTAATTCGACAGATAACACAATGACCGACTTAGGGAAATTATGCTACTCTTATAGATATGCATGTATGAAGATAATAAAAATAAAACATACTCATTGCAAAATTAACAGTTCCATTATTGTGCTGTGGATGTTTGCACTTGCGACGAGAACAAACACGTAACTGAAATTCAATAAGATATTATTTCTTCGTCATTTCATTCATCAGTCGAAAAGTTGAATAGAGACCTTTGAAAGATACGTGATAAGGTAGATGAGATGAGCAATCGGAGTGAATGGAGGAGGTATGAGTGGAGTGTTTTTGTATTCGAGTACTTGCTCGTAGCGTTGGAAGAGCCAAACTTGTTGTGATATTGCATTCGTTTCATTGAATATATTACTGAAGTTTATAATCATTCATCAATCTAAATCAGATATTGTTAAACATCAATTCATAGCATAAACCTTCTAAAACAGTAGTTCTCATACGGGGAGACTCTCTCATTTCACTCCCGGGAATTGAAGGGTGTGACGGATGGACTGAAGAGGTTGAGAAATCAGTGTTGATTAGTTTTTGAAATAATCCTTTCATAACTACTGAATAATGTTCTCAAAATCATTGTTTAATCAGAAAGTAGCGACCCCTTTGGTACTACTGACGAATTCTTAGCGATAAACTTCTTGATAAGCTGATCAATTTCCTGGTTTTCTTCTTAATAGTCGTTGGGGAATAATAGTTTGTCAGAGCAGCGGAAGGAGATTGCGATCTTGTAGATTGTTACATGGAGCAGGACCAAAGAAGGGATGAGCAAGGCTATCAGTGTTCTACGGTCTACGGGAGTGTTATTACAGCAGTTGATGTTGTATCAATAATGAAGAAAGTCCAAGCACGATACATCTGTTGACAGCTTACTTGAAAATTGCGATAAGCATGTTTATGAGAAGTATGTTCGAAATGAGCAAAAAAATAGTCATCAACGCGGGTGGAATCCATCCTCCAGGTACGCAGTTGGTACCTGAAGATATTAGCTATTAATGCACTATTTGATTAGAGATGCTACACTACAGACAAAAAGAGAGTACTTCATAATGCACCGTCGTAACTGACAAGCTCATTTTCAGAAATCAGGACTAAAATAACAAAAAAGACTATCAAAATGAACCTTCATCTCCACACGTATCAATTTCACCAGCATACACTTCACCATAGAGCATGAAATAAGGTTTATAAAAGATGTTTCGAACCAGTACCCAATTCCACTTTTCATGTGGATACGTTATAGATTGTCGAGATACACCAAATGCCATTACTGTGACCAGTAGCAGTACAATTATATAACACATGTTCAAAATCTAAACACGTCTTCGAGCAATGTGTTATAACATTTCTTCAAAGCTCAAACTTTTGTTGCAAAAGAAAAATGGAGTATTACTGACCATTTTGCCAGCCATTGTTATGTATGGTCCAAGACGAGGGTGTATGCTCATAAAATCAAGAACTTTAATGTACCATAACACTGAATCACATGCTAAAATCACTCGACCATACGAGTGCCTTGTGAGTGGATTTAGGCGAAACGCAAAACCAACAAAGAATGAGAGAATGGCGAAAACAGTTAAATAATTCCACTGTCGATTGAAAAATACACGAATTTTTTCGAACAGCGAACTTGCTTCCTGCATTAAGAGCTGAAAAAAAATTTTGTGAACGACTTCACTGCAAAAGCAGCATAGATGAACAGAAGAAACGTCAATACTTTATTTTACTGGAATTCCAATTGAACGTTGGCATTTCCTCTGCTGGTAAGATGAAAAAAGATGGAAATAATAAAAACAAATGAATCGGGTATCTATGATGTATTAATTAACTAGCATAATCAACGAAACAACTTCAAGGGAGTTTGCTGGTCAATGAATGATAGGATCAATAAATTTGCACGCAGAAGAATTAGCACTCGTTTACAATACTTGTAATGATCACAAACCTTACGGAAGTGCTCCATTGCGAATGAAATGACATAAATCAGTAATAACCACTCAACGTTGCGGATATGCACCGGGAATTCAATCAAGAGCACGTAGGTGATTGCGAACAGAAACAATGCGAAGCTTAAACTCCATGTCCAAAACGTTGTAATCGGTGCTGAATAAAATGCGTTCACTTTGGATCGCCAACGCATAGCATTTCTATTGTGCTGCTGCAATCAAAAACCAATTAACTTAGTCTTATTCAATTATGATGAATGCTAATTCTCTTGTTTGTGCCACAAAAAAAAGTCTGTTAAATAACACGCATTCATATTGCTTAACATCGTTCATCCTGAAAATCGAATTCGAAATGCGCATTTTAAAAGACGATTCCATGATGATGAATATGATGTTTGTGTAATTAAGCAATAAACAACGGTAGTTTGTAACGAAATTACTGAATGCTACCTCTTCTGAACCGTTCGAATTACCTCGTTCCATATGATCGTCACAGTCAATCAGATCAGTTATTTCTCTCGAAGCACTCCTCGAACGCATGAATGTTTTGGTAAAGTTCCGTTTTCTAGGCTTGAAAAACTGCAATATTATCTCTTGCTGAGTTAAATCCTCCACAATATCACAAATATTGGCAATGAATGAAATTCCATTTTACGTGCTTAATTTCTGAAGAATCATAACTACAGCGAAAAATTCCCTCGTAGAAATTATTATGAATTAATTTCACGATTAGTTGAATAAATTTTCATGAGGCAATTTCATATTAAGAACTATCTTGTTTCAAGAAAATGAGCTATAGAATTAAGAACTATCTTGTTTCAAGAAACTATGATCGAAAACCAAAACGAGGTGTTACATACAGACGATGTAGCACTGGTGGTGCTTTGACGGTGTAATTTATTATTCTCACCATCGTCCTCGTTACTGCTCTCGATTTCCTGAAAGTTTTTTTGGTTATTTGGATACGACTGAAGAATTGTGAACATTTGAAAAAAAGTCGAAAATAAATTCGAATAAGACGGAATAACCTCTTCAAATTCATCAGAATCAGAACTGCAAACGTAATGGTGTTGGTGAGAAACGCTCGATGACATTGACCAAACGGTTGGTTTCACATCAAGCAGGAGAATGCCCGGTGGAAATGCGATCGCTAAAATTACTTTAACGTTCGGCTGGCTGACAAGTTTCTAGAGGGATTATCAACAGTACCTTCTGATGCGAAGTCCTCCGTGCCACAGATCCGCCAATAGAATTTGACAGCTGAAATGACGTTGCTAACTCAACATTCATCCATCAACTCGACAGATAATTTGCACATTCCGACTAGTTCGAATTCATACAACATTTCATGAATAGTGATCACATTTTTGATGATTGCTTCTATTTTGTACTCTTTTGTCCTTCCAACTATTCCGTTCCTTTTTACGCCGTTCTGTTCTCTTTCTTTCCTGCTCCCAAAATTTCGAAGTTGGTGTGATCTGCCGTTTGAACTGTTCTGTTTTGTTCGCACATCGCAAATTTTAATGCTGTTCTGTTCTATTCTGTTAGAAGAAAACAGGAATAAACGTTTCTAATTGGAACAGAGAAGTCACTAGTCAGCAGCTACAAGAAATGGCAAATTTGGTGACTGTTTCATGGAAGTTTAATGAATACATAGTTTTTTTGCTCTCAATCATCGAACTATAAATACAATTAATTTGAGTGTATAATTGTATAAATGATGTATAAATATAATGTATTATTGCAGTGCAATAATAAGAAACTGACCATGGATGAGCGAGAAACTGCTTATTGTTAGCGATAACAGCGAGCGATAAGCATGTCTGATGACCCCAATTAGGCAACTCGGCAGTGAGTAAACGCATTGTTTGCGTATCGTCTTGCTGATAGCAATGGTTCAACAAATCCAAACTCTTCATTTTGAATTCTCTAAATATACCGACTTATTTCAGGTGATTATGAACATACAAATATAATCGTGAACTAGGCCAGCAAAGGTTAACTTCCTAACTGAAGAGAGGTGCATGCATGCGCGTCTGCCTCAACGATCTGTTTTAGACTAGCGTTGAGAAAGCGGCGTGTTCAATCAGCACAGCAACGGTAAGCAGATTTTTTTCAGCATCGATGGGAATGAATTTCTGATAAATATTCATTGTGCCATGGCATTAACAATTGTCAGATAATTGAAAAAGAAGATAAATGAACGATTAAAAAACAGTTGGTATGTGTGTTCCAATTAAACTGCTCTGTTCTTGTTTAAGCTTTAACAGTTGGAGTGGGAGAACAGAACAGAAGTGCTTCGAAACTGAGAGTGTAGAACAGAACAGAACAAAACAGATTAGCTAGATGAGGAGAACAGAACAGTTTAACAAAAGTGTGGAACAAAGAAATCACTGGTCGCCAAAAGAATAAGAACAAACTCAGCGCATTGACGTAATTGATCAGAAATTTCCACTTCAACATAATCATCAGCAGCCTCTTTACTCATGCATTTGTATAGACGCATGGCAACAAGCGCTTTTGCCATTGGTTCCTCACCATGCATCCACATGAAACGTGCCATTTCTTGACGGCGTGTTAATACTGCCCATAGCATTAGTTCATTGAATGGATAATTGAATTCTGTTGTTTCATTATCTTAATTACGTTGCATTAGCTCACTTCTTCAGTTTCTTTAAATACCATTTGTTATCACTCATCTCAATAAGAGTCAAACCAAACTTATGAAATAATTCAGCGGAACAGACGTCATCGAAAATTGCGTTTTCGGTTTGAGCACACTGGACTGAGGATCTTATGAATAGTTTTTAGAAATTTTCGACACAGAACCATAACTGCAGAAAAAAACGAATGAGGTAATAATGATCATGTGAATAAACCTTCGTGATATTCTTTCGTCCTTTTGCGTGACTTTCCTGACTCCTGAAACTTGAAATTTATAGGACGACTTGATCGTTACATAAAGATAATTCGAATTATTTCATAAGTTCACACCAAATAAATACGCAGTTTCACCATAACATTTCACTGCAGTTTCAGTTTTTTCAGGTGCTATTTTATTTTGAAATGAATTTCGGTCGAGGAAACTTTGAAATATGATGATGTTTAATTATACTAGTTTTTAATGGAATACTGATTTTATGCCAACCCCGGATCTATTTTTGTCACGTCCATACGATGCGCGCAGATTTCGAAGACTCGGTATTCGAGAAACCTAAAGATATGATAGCCGAAATCAACAACTCAAAATATTGGAATTCACTAAATTTTGATTTCTTTTATTTTAGTGGTGCAGATAATTGCTTGATTCATTTGGCGATGCGGAATTTCGCTTGTGCCACATTAAAAAAATGATAAGCTTCGAATAGTTCAAGTTGTAAACTAATGTAATAAATGAGGCAAATGGAATCGTTAGCTTACCCCAGCTCTTTTTTTGTACTTCTCACACTTACTCTTGAACAAACTTGTTGTATAAAAACTCTTATATGCATTACCCATCAACTTCTCAATCGCTGCACCAATCTCAGGTAGTTCGAAATTGCCGTCACTTTTTGAGAGATTATTTCGAATTAAGTGACGAATCGTTATCGGTGGGCCTTGATCCTCAAATATTCTTTTGTTTTCATGAATCTTTGAATGCTTTCATTGAATGAATTGGAAAGATGACTGAAGCCGAGAACCATATTGTAAAGTTGTTCGAGTCGACTTATGGTGAGGAATTTCTTCATTGAAACGCCATTTTCGAGAAGGATATTAACGAAGTCAACACGATCCAACATTAACGCTTCCATCATTGCATTATGTAATAAATGCGGTGACCACTGTTTTCCGTCAGAAAATATCTCCGATCGAGCAATATCAACACGATTCCACGCCAGTGTTAATGCCAGCTTAAATAGTAGTGTCAATTGCGATGAAAAATATCCTTAGATTATCCATCAGAGTTAAGAATTACCTTATCGGCCGGCGAAAGGTTCTGTCCCTGGAGCAGTGCTGCCAGAATCGCATGATCAACATCTTGTTCTTTGTCGCTCAAACGGAATATTGTTAACTGAAACAATACAAGGAAAGATGAGCAAATCTACAACGCGAATATACACTTTACCAGTTCGCGATGTTCAACACACCGCAGTATATCATCAAGTAACTGCTCCGGGGTTGTGGCGCTGTAACGAAAAACGGTTGCGATTAACACCAGTAGTTGTTCGCGAACTTCGCTCGGTAGGCTGCTAAAAATTGCAATGATGGATCACGATGTGAATAATAATTGTACTTACCTTGTCAATTGATTTGACATAACGTAAACAAAATAAATCCGCTCGAATTATGATAGTATTCATGGAGAGTGTAGTTGCTGATGCCACTAACCCATCTGGTTGAACATAGTGATGTGCGAAAGCAAGGAGATCAGAAGCTCTTCCACTTCCATCACAGACAATTACTGGAACCGGTGGATCACTGAAATAAATCTTGTTCGTCTATAAAATATCGTCTTTTCTGAAATAATCGTCTAAATAAATGAAAAAGCGCTAACTTGGTAAGATATTGCAAAATGGCACGTATTGTGCAAGTTCCACCTTCAAGAACAGCACACACAACTGGTACCCTCCTTGTTCCACTTCCAAGCGTTTGTTTTTGTGCAATGAATTCTTCAAATCGTTTACGTAGAATTATGTCAGCTCCATACCTGAAAGCAAAAATTTCAATGCTCGTTATAGACAATCGAAGGCGTCAGGAGGTCACTGCTAGATGCGTGCTCAAAAATACATTGATATCAAACTATCGTCTTTGGTTGAACGAATTTTGAATAGCCTAGCAATTAACCGCCCAAGCGAATTATGAATGAAGTGCAGCAATTTTGATACCTTCCTGAAGTGCCATTATCAACAAGAAGAAAATATGAGTGTCGATCGTTGAGAACAGCAAGCTTAGTTCTATTTGAGAATGAGTGGAGATCATATGGCACAACGATATCTTTTCCGATCAGTTTCTCTCTTTTCTTTAACAAACCCCATGGAGCGATCCCAATCGTCACTATTTTTGATCGCATTCTAAACAAATTTTTGATCGTATCCTTACACACACAAACAGGCACAGTTGAACGATTTCGTTGAAGCAGATGTAATTTATTTTGGGTGTAATTTTACGAGAATTATTCAAAAAACCGATGAACAAACCGTGCTGAAATGCCGGCCTCGTCTAAAGCAGTAGCCACGTGAC